AATACATAGAAGGTATCAGCGGTCATGTGAGCTTCTTATCCAACAGATCGCAATGATGTTGCAGTTGTTAATAAATACCATGACATCACATCAGATCGGAGCTAGTTGTCGTCTATTCCTGACACTAGTTTAGAAATGGAGCTTCTTCTTGGCTGTTGTTTGTATTGTGATATATAATCCATTCTAAAATCGGTTGCCTGAAATAGATTCCTGTTTGTCTCTCTGAAGCGGCTCAAGTAGAAACCGCGCTGTGAGCAGTGATGACCTCTGACCCTGGGCTTCCCCTCCTCGTGTTGATTGCGATGACTCGCTGTAATCTTCAGTACCGGTGTGGGTTTCACTAATTGCGAGCAGGCCGTCTCACCAAAGGACCAAATGCCGTGTACCCTCGGATATTACCGAGCACATCACTCACACAGCAGCTCCGCTCCAGTGTGTTCGTCTCCTGCTAAATGGAGCGTCAGACGGTACATCGCTAAAGGGGCTATTGTGTATATAGTGAGACGACACAAGGTACCTGAACCAGGTCTGAACCTGGCCCACCATGCTTTGCAGCCAGTGGGGGGTCTTGTATTTCCCACCTGGACCTTCAGTGCCGCCTACGGTTAAATAGCCTGATAACATCACGATGACGCCACACAAACAGGTCATTATTTGTTCTGTGTAAACGCCTCATATTCACTGCAAAATGTAACGTTTACGGTGAAATAAATTGTTACATAAGCTCAAAACAAATACTCTAACTGCAGATACATGAACACTCGGGGTGTAACGATTCATTCAGTGAATCGATTAATATTCCTGCGATCCAACTGAATCGATATGTGCTCCGCAAATCGGCATTCCGGACGACATGTATCGCTTACAAATCGATTGAAGTGGTACATAATCGATTGTATCGATACTTGGAAACTGCACATTGGATTTAAGCACAAAAACTGTATGGATGTGTGTTTGTTTGTTTGTTTTTTAGCACTTTAGACGCGTTAAACGTTCCTGGATTCAGTCTGTCTGTGACGTCGTCAGTACGCAGCGGCCGCCGCGCGAAACTTAACAACAACAACAACACACAGCGTGGAGGAGACGACAGCGAGCGAGACGTTTACAAACCAACGTATCGATCCAGTGGAAACATTTTGGCTTCTGCAAACACGGAGGTGTTCTAAATAAGTCAGTCGCTGTTTGTAGAATATGTAGAAGACAAATAAAAACCACGGAAACACGACGGATCTTTGCGGCCGTCTACTAAGGCGCCGTGGGATTAAACAACGGCGACAGTCAGGACCTCTAGCAGCGTCACCGCTGCAGCAGCAGCAGGTAACTCAGCTCTGCAGACGCCTCAGGCCTCCAGCACCAAACTCAACATCACAGTAACAAGTTCATCTGTAGACGTGCGACCCTACGATGTGGTGGAACATCCAGGGTTCTGTGAATTGATCCAAACATTGTGTAATTATTGTGAAATGTTTACATTGAAAATGGCACTTGATTCAAATAAAAGGTTTATACATTTGCCATTAATGGTTGTTTGCTTGTTTTTAATATCCATAATTAATTTAAACCTGATTTCCTTACAAGAAACAACAGGGATCTCAGAATCTTTGCCTGCACTGTCCAGTAAAGTTACTGAATCGATTTCAAGTCACTGAATCGAATCGAATCGTTCTAAATGAACCCAGATCGTCCATGAATCGAATCGGCAACCATGAATCGCGATTCGAATCGTTAAAATGAATCGTTCCACCCCTAATGAATACGTCACGACGGGATGCTGCGTAATCAACGCACAATGCATATAATCAAATGAATGTAATTAACGCAATGACGAGAGCAAACTCACACGAGCGTTTATTGCAGTGCACCAAGCGTTCACATGGAGGTCTTGCTTTAAACATCTGCTTTTGTGTCTGCAAGAGTGCACGTGTCCCCTTAATGTACATTAGCAGAACATCTCCATTTGCATGCATGATTCAGGGCCTCGGGTGGGCATCAATCTTTCAGCGCCTCTCACAGCGCGGTGAGTGCATTTACGTGCACTCGTGCGGTCGGCCTAAACGTGTCCGAGCGGGTCGCTCATCGTCAATAACCCGTCGGCCCATATCGACGCGGCTCGTAGCCTCTGGTGGCATCACCAGGACGCCCTCGGCCGCCACGCCAGCCGAAAACGGCGACCTCATTTTCGCTTTCATCGCTCATGTGCGACTGTTTAAACTCATCTGTGTCAGATTAAAATGAGATTTAAATTCTTTATGAAGCAGCTAACTTTCTGCACGCTGGCGGTGCAACGGATCATAAAACTCGCTCCACTTTGGAGTCTCGGGGGAAGAAGGGATCACGTTTTTATGAAGATCTTTATTTCCCCAAAATGTAAATGTTATCATTCACTTTGTTAGAGGAATTGATGTTTTTCTTTATTGAAAATACTTCTATGGATTAAATCAAATATTCTCATTATTAATGGTTTGACAAAATATAATTACTCTCTATTACCTATTTCATATTAATGGGAATGTAAATGTATTAATGTTTCTCACAATAACTACATTTTACAGAAAACCTCACTTTCACTGAGCGGCACCTGAACGCATCACAGTGTAACGGAAGATAACCTCTGTTAGCTAGCCGTTAGCTGCTAACGTTACTAGCGCTCCTCCTGTTGATCTAAACACTGATTGGTTGTTTTCAATGCCAATTGATCAGAGATCAATGATGTCATCAGAAGGTGAAACACGTTACGCTCTGCTTGTGTCCCTCCTGCCGCCGTAAGTGATGTTGTGTGAAAGCACAACGGAAGATTCCTTCTGACAGATACAGTCAAAGCGACTTACGTCTCCTGAATAATTCTGGTGTTTGCTCCCGTTTGGTTTGCTGTATTCTTGGCTTTTTGCTGCCTTTGTAACATCTGACGAGGCCTCCTGGTAGCTGCTTCCTCTGACTGCAGATGACAAAGCCCATTTGGGTTTGAGAAGTTGGAAAACTTGTATAAAAAAAGCAAAAGGCCCCAATAGAGAGATGTTTAACTGAGGGACCATCAGCAGGTAGCCCCGCCCCAAAGCATCCCCTGCTTTATGGTCTATTAGAGACCTGTCAATCAGCAGGTAGCCCCGCCCCAAAGCATCTCCTGCTTTATGGTCTATTAGAGACCTGTCAATCAGCAGGTAGCCCCGCCCCAAAGCATCCCCTGCTTTATGGTCTATTAGAGACCTGTCAATCAGCAGGTAGCCCCGCCCCAAAGCATCCCCTGCTTTATGGTCTATTAGAGACCTGTCAATCAGCAGGTAGCCCCGCCCCAAAGCATCTCCTGCTTTATGGTCTATTAGAGACCTGTCAATCAGCGTGTAGCCCCGCCCCAAAGCATCTCCTGCTTTATGGTCTATTAGAGACCTGTCAATCAGCGTGTAGCCCCGCCCCAAAGCATCTCCTGCTTTATGGTCTATTAGAGACCTATCAATCAGCGTGTAGCCCCGCCCCAAAGCATCTCCTGCTTTATGGTCTATTAGAGACCTGTCAATCAGCGTGTAGCCCCGCCCCAAAGCATCTCCTGCTTTATGGTCTATTAGAGACCTGTCAATCAGCAGGTAGCCCCGCCCCATAGCATCCCCTGCTTTATGGTCTATTAGAGACCTGTCAATCAGCGTGTAGCCCCGCCCCAAAGCATCACCTGCTTTATGGTCTATTAGAGACCTGTCAATCAGCGTGTAGCCCCGCCCCAAAGCATCACCTGCTTTATGGTCTATTAGAGACCTGTCAATCAGCGTGTAGCCCCGCCCCAAAGCATCTCCTGCTTTATTTTCTATTAGAGACCTGTCAATCAGCAGGTAGCCCCGCCCCATAGCATCCCCTGCTTTATGGTCTATTAGAGACCTGTCAATCAGCGTGTAGCCCCGCCCCAAAGCATCACCTGCTTTATGGTCTATTAGAGACCTGTCAATCAGCGTGTAGCCCCGCCCCAAAGCATCCCCTGCTTTATGGTCTAGCAGAGACCTGTCAATCAGCAGGTAGCCCCGCCCCAAAGCATCCCCTGCTTTATGGTCTATTAGAGACCTGTCAATCAACGTGTAGCCCCGTCCCCAAAGCATCCCCTGCTTTATGGTCTATTAGAGACCTGTCAATCAGCGTGTAGCCCCGCCCCATAGCATCCCCCTGCTTTATGGTCTATTATAGACCTTGTCAATCAGCAGGTAGGCCGCGCCCTCAAAGCATCCCCTGCTTTATGGTCCGAGTAGAGTCATGTCCTCATAAACGTCTATGGGGAGCAGAGGAGTCGCCCCCTGCTGGTCACTACAGATGAATTGGAGTCATTTTCCTCATATACGCCTATGGGAGTAAAGGAATCGCCCCCTGGGTTTTATTTGTCACAATTGCCCTAAAAAAGAATCTGCTTCATGACATGTATGTTCCCCGCCGAACTTTCCCGTCTCCCCTCACACGACACTACGTCCAAATCTCGTCCGCGATGGCTGAAGCTCGTGAACGAAAAGTAGATCCTCCAGAGACGCCGCGTCGGATCACGTGACCTGGTGCCGCTCAGCGGACACGATACGCATGAAAAGTTAACGTCCCCTAAGTGTGCTCTTGGTGTGTGTGTGTGTGTGTGTGTGTGTGTGTGTGTGTGTGCAGCAAAGGGAGTAAAGCACTTACCCTCTTATATAACACACAACTTGGCCAAGAGAGAGTAGTGTGACCGGTGTAACATACAAATGCATCTGCCTTCATGTGTGTGTGTGTGTGTGTGTGTGTGTGTGTGTGTGTGTGTGTCTGGTGTCTCTCTCTCTTTATTTGTTATTTCTGCAGACTTCTCTATGCACACGTGAGATTCGTCCTGTAATCTGGATCTGGTTCGTTTGCTGTAACTTGTATTTTCTTGTTGCTGCTTAAGAGGCCTGACGTGACATTAACAGTTAAAACGCGTGTTTCTAAATGACGGCAGATAAATACAGAAGGGAACAAACCTCTGCTCTCACTCTTTGGCTTTGTTGCAGTCTGACCTCATTTTCACATCTGGATTGAGGTTGCATCCTTTAATAAGAGCAGAAGTGCACGTTGAAACCTGCAGCACCTTGATGAAGGAATTCAGGAGCCTCGTCCTGCCTTCTGTTGTTCAAGCTTTGTTTCAGATACGCCGCGTTGTACTGCTGCATAGCGGGTCTAGTTTGCTTCGGCTGTCATTATTGGCCAAAGAGATCCATGCTGTGTGTCATAAACGGGATTCATGCTCGCTCCTGTCTGAGGGGAGAAAGAGGGGCGACGTTCAGGCCTCAAAAGAGGGAAGAACTGTTTGCTTTTTTTATTACAGAGTGCGTCTTCCGGATGGAACCGGTTATTATGTATAAAAATCTAATAACAAGTTGTGTGTGTTTGTACAACAGCCTGGGAGAGCTGATGAACACACACACGGTCACGTCCAGGAACAGGGACTGAAAATAGTCCCCAACGAATGCAACGCTTCCTCCCTTTTGTTTGATGAGGACAAGCAGCTCAGCAGGAAGGAGAACAGCTGTGGTCTTGAGAAGAATTAGAAGGAATAGAATATTTAGAATAATAGAATCTGTGATGTCCAGTAGGATTCAGTGTGAACCAACGAGTGCAGATGTTGTCCTGAGGTCACTCGGAGGGCCAGACCTTCCTTCTCAATCCTCACAGAGGAGGAAGCACCCTGAGGAGTCCTCCTGAGAACTTGAGCCTGGTAGAAGCAGAGTGAAGATGTGTGATTCTGTACCGGTCCTGGTGTTTTCCTCACTGTAGGCGAATTACCCAGGATGCACCTCTTTGGTGACAAGTGATGCTCAGATGTTTACTTTCCAGTGGCTCATAACAACGTATGCACAGATGTAGTCTGGTGCTGAGTAAAGCTCCAGCGGACTCAGAGGACTTTGAGCGATGTCTAAAGGATCATCTTCAGCCGGGTTCAGTCTCATGGATCTCCTCCGCCTTGTTTCCAGCAGGCGTCTGCCTTGAGCAGCTTGGGGAAAGGGAAGCCCCCCCCCCCCCCTGAGGGTCACGTCCTGGCAGAGAAGAAGACCTTTCTCCCTCCAGCAGAAGCTGGATGCAGATTCTTCTCTCCATGAATGGTCTCTCTTCTCACCACATACCAGAGGAGAGGCTGCGTACTCGCCCCGCTGGGTGTGTACTTGTGTTCTCGGAGGAATGAGCTCGTGTGAGATGTGACACGTTGTTTGAGGAACAGGAAGCTTCGGCCTTCAGGGCTGAAAACGCTCCATCATCATCATCATCATCAGCTGTTTACCTGCGAGGCTTCATCCTCACACACACCGTGTGCACACAGCCGCCACATCTCGCGCTCGCTCTTAAAATAACACCATGAATCTTTTATTTATAGACCCCCCCCCTCCTCTCAGGGGGCTGCTCTGTTTCTTTTGAAAAGGAAACCAGCGTAAACAATATGGACTGAAACCTTCTCAAGATGGCTGCAGTGGAGGGGAAAGAAGAGAGGCGGGGGGCGGACGGGTGGGGGGGGGTCCATTGATAAAAAAAATCCAATTAAGAACCCGTCCTCTCACAAATGGTACGATCCACTCCAAGCGCCGCTTCCACCTTCAGCGGTGTCACGCAGCAACGGTCGCTTAGCAACCGGGAACATGTTGTGCCTCACGGTGATGATGCGGCTTCTCACCTGGGAAGCATCAGACATTTAGTGAGAAGGACAGAGGACACAAGGACAGAGGGAGGAAGGACTGAAGGGAGGTGTGTGTGTGTGTGTGTGTGTGTGTCTGTGTGACTTGTTTCCAAATGAGTAATTGTCCGTCTCTGTAAATAAAATTGTCACAAAATTAGAATAGAGTTTTATTTAATGGACACAAAATTTACGCAGTTCTACTATTTTTGTCACATAAAATCGATTAATAATCCCTTTTTTGTTAAATTAAATGGAGAATAAAGGAAGCCGCTGCGTGGGGGTGAATACTCATAAATACTCTCGTCTGTATATTTATGTCACTCAGTCGGGATGAGCTGACCTTTGACCCGCTCGGATTAGCGGCGTGTCTTCGGAGCGGCGCCGCGTAGGTCAGATTAGGATTGATTAACCGGATTAGCGGACTGTGAGGGGGGGCGAGTGGTGTGTGTGTGTGTGTGTGTGTGTGTGTGTGTGTGTGTGTGTGTGTGTGTGTGTGTGTGTGTGTGTGTGTGTGTATTGATTAAACTGTAAATGTTCAGCCATCAAACCGTTGGTACAGAGCAGTTTTTCCTTCATTTGGCTGTTGATTCAAGACAGTTTATCAGGGTTCATCTGACTTACTCACCACATCACTCACTCCATCACTCACTCCATCACTCACTCCATCACTCACTCCATCACTCACTCCATCACTCACTCACTCCATCACTCACTCACTCCATCACTCACTCCATCACTCACTCACTCCATCAGTCACTCCATCACTCACTCCATCACTCACTCACTCCATCACTCACTCCATCACTCACTCACTCCATCACTCACTCCATCACTCACTCACTCCATCACTCACTCCATCACTCACTCCATCACTCACTCCATCACTCACTCACTCCATCACTCACTCCATCACTCACTCACTCCATCACTCACTCCATCACTCACTCCATCACTCACTCACTCCATCACTCACTCCATCACTCACTCACTCCATCAGTCACTCCATCACTCACTCCATCACTCACTCACTCCATCACTCACTCACTCCATCAGTCACTCCATCACTCACTCCATCACTCACTCACTCCATCACTCACTCACTCCATCACTCACTCCATCACTCACTCACTCCATCACTCACTCCATCACTCACTCACTCCATCACTCACTCACTCACTACATCACTCACTCACTCACTACATCACTCACTCCATCACTCACTCACTCCATCACTCACTCCATCACTCACTCACTCCATCACTCACTCCATCACTCACTCCATCACTCACTCACTACATCACTCACTCACTCCATCACTCACTCCATCACTCACTCACTACATCACTCACTCACTCCATCACTCACTCACTCCATCACTCACTCCATCACTCACTCACTACATCACTCACTCACTCCATCACTCACTCACTCACTACATCACTCACTCCATCACTCACTCACTCACTACATCACTCACTCCATCACTCACTCACTACATCACTCACTCACTCACTATAGTGTGTGTGTGGGAGGGGGGGAGTTCATCCTACTTGCGTTGTTACATAATAGGGTTAAAAGACACCACAGCAGGTTACATAAGATACTCCTATGGGGTTGTATAGTGTGTGTGTTTTGTGTACTGGAGTGTGTGTGTGTGTGTGTGTGTGTGTGTGTGTGTGTGCTGGAGCGTGATGGAGGGAACATGAGGTCACGCTGAAACAGCTGTTGGAGCACTTCTCTCTAATCACCTAAATGTCCCCCCAACGACGTTTGTTAGATTTGTCCACCTCTCTGTCCGTACCACACACACACATGGTGATGCTGAGGATGCTGAGGATGAGGATGCTGATGAGGAGGATGATGAGGATGATGATGAGGATGATGTGTGGATTTCCAGGAAGTACCAAAAGGAAAAGTATCCTTCCGTTTCCTTCGGCGCCTCAACAACTACTCAAAAACCAGTTCAGCTTTGGCTACTTTCCACTCGTACTTGTGTCCATGTTCCTGAGACCTGTCGGGCGTCTTGCTGTCCTCGCGGATTGGCCAACCGGTCCTCACCCCCCCTCGCGGTGTGTTTTCAGGTGAACCAAGATAACGTGGTGAAGGTGGGACACAGACAGGTGGTCAACATGATCCGCCTGGGCGGCAACCGGCTGCTCATCAAGGTGGTGACTGTGAGCCGGAATCTGGACCCAGACGACACGGCGCGCAAAAAAGGTACACCGGGGGGGGGGGGCTTAATAAATGGGGAGGGGCTTCAAACGGGGAGTAGAACCATGGAGGAGGAACCCGCTGCAGGAGTCGTCCGTCAGTACGGAACAATCCCAGTGATGTTGGTTCTATGTAACATGGGCCTGAAGTTCTGGTCCGGATCCAGATATCGACCGAAAGACAGTTTATTGCTCCTGGATTCAACTTTTATTCATTCTTTCCTTTTTCCCGAAGCTTAATTCTGCTGTCGATATCAGGAAGCTAACTTCTAGCTAACATGCTAAAAGGTGTTTGTCCTCCTGGCAGCCAATCAGAGTCGAGTACACACTCAGTAACAGACAGAAAACAGCGCTGAAATGAACCATTATAATGATCCTATTGGATAATGTCTTGACTAAATGTGCGTCTTTGGCTTTGTTAGCTCCTCCCCCACCCAAGCGAGCGCCCACCACCGCGCTGTCTATGCGCTCCAAGTCGATGACCTCTGAGCTGGAGGACCTCGGTGAGCTCCCCGGACTGACTGTCTCTGTGTCCTCATGGAGTCTGTAACTAACAGCCTCTCTCTGTTCTCTCTTCTCATTGGTCGATGAAATCTCCCCCCCAGTGGATAAAGGTGAGCAGTTAGCGCTGCACAACCTCTCGCCGTCCCTTTGCTTGGCTGTAACACCCACGGGCCCCCCCGCCGGCTGAATGAAGCTTTTGTGTTTTTGCTTTGCACCGTAAATAAGAAGACAGCCCCGCCCCGCCTCGCCCTGCCCCGCCCCGCCCCCATCTCCTGCTCGCCATCATGCATGAAGGGCTTTCGCTGCTAGAGACACCGACCCCGAGCTCTCCCAACATGACCCCCCTATGTGTCGCATTGAGGTCGTCCTATTACCTCACAGACAGCGTTCCTCACACACGTGAGCAGCAGGACGGAGGGAGGGAGGAAGGATGGAGGAAGGGAGGAAGGGAGGAAGGGAGGGAGGGAGGGAGGGACGTGTCAAATAGAAAGTAGGGACCACTGAAGTAGGATTTATCCTGCAGACTGAGATAATTGGTTCGTGGTCTTTTTGACCCTGCAGTTCATTGTCCTTGCCCTGTCAATCAGCGCGTAAGCCCCGCCCTAAAGCATCCCCTGCTTTATGGTCTATCCGACTCTACGTGGACCATAATTCAATCCTTGAAGAAGACTTGAAACTAGAGACTGAGACCACAAACTCATGTTTACAATGTTTACTGAGGGAATAAATCAAGGGAGAAGAAAGTAAAGAGTCATTTCCTCATAGACGTCTATGGGAGCAGAGGAGTCGCCCCCTGCTGGTCACTACAGAGAAGTAGAGTCATTTCCTCATAGACGTCTATGGGAGCAGAGGAGTCGCCCCCTGCTGGTCACTACAGAGAAGTAGAGTCATTTCCTCATAGACGTCTATGGGAGCAGAGGAGTCGCCCCCTGCTGGTCACTACAGAGAAGTAGAGTCATTTCCTCATAGACGTCTATGGGAGCAGAGGAGTCGATTGATGGAAGAGAGGAATCGATTCTGATTCACAGTAAACGCACATGTGTGTCCAAGGTGTGCAGAGGGATGAGAGTGAATGAATGAATAAATGAAATGACAGCAGAGTGAACCATACTGACTGAAGAGGACACCTCCGGTCAGATACATTGATAATTTAGCTTAGCGAGTTCATCGTGGCCGCAGCAACAAATTTGAGTCTATTTTTGTGCTTTAAATGTGTTTCTGTCGCCCCCCCCCCACTCCTCCCCCCCCAAAGCCACTCTAAGGAAAAAGAAAGGTGGTAAGTGACTGCGGGCATGTTTCAGTCTGATCACATGTTCCCAAGGGTCTCCGTCACACGCCTCCCTCACTGCGATGCTCTCACACAGAATCCGACCCCGCGGGGTCACTGCATGACCTCTGACCTGTTGCACGTTTTAACGTTGTAGAGACGTCGCAGCTCTCCTGTTCTTCAGGTTATTGTTTCCTAAACGGCGGCGAGTTTGGCTTCGTTTTTATTTCACCCTCAAACACGAGACTCTTATTGAGGAATTAATCTAATGATAAAGTCTGTACAGTTAAAGTTTCTATTCCCTGATGTGAAAGGGTTCGTTCCTGCGCGCCTTCTTCTTCCTTCTGTGTTACATCAGCCTTTTGTGTACGTGTGTGTGTGTGTGTGTGTGTGTGTGTGTGTGCGTGTGTGTGTGTGTGTGTGTGTGTGCGTGTGTGTGCGTGTGTGTGTGTGTGTGTGTGTGTGCGTGTGTGTGCGTGTGTGTGTGTGTGTGTGTGTGTGTGTGTGTGCGTGTGTGTGTGTACGTGTGCGTGTGTGTGTGTGTGTGTGTGTGTCTGATATCTAAACTCTTTTGGGGTCTACGGTGATTGACGCTCCTTCCTCCCCCCCTTTCCCTCCCCTCCTCGCCTCCCTTCCCCTCTTCCATGTGTGTAGATGCGCAGAAGAAGAGGATTGTTTTCAAAGTCACTCTAAGTAATCACCCCCCCCCCCCCACACACACACACACACACACACACACACACACACACATGCATGGAAGCTTTCCACAGAGCTAGCTTGACCGGGATGTCCCGCTACGAGAGGCTAGCTGGCGGCTAGCATGTAGCTTATCTGAGCAAAGACCTTCTTTTCCAGGACGGCTCTATCCGACGGCATCATCGCACAGCGGGGGGGCTTTCGGTTAGCTTGGCTCATTGCCCCCCCCCCCCCTCAGAGGTGGATGATGCTGCAGAGTCAGCTGTTTGGAAAAAAGAAGCTTGCACGGCTTGCGAGGCTGGACGCGCCAGACGCATCTCATCGAAGCCTTTCCTGTCCCCTCCGTCCCCCCGGTCTCCGGTCCCCCCAGGGAAAGAAATGGTTCAATGTTATATTTCTGTGTCATGTGCGGGGGTGTGGAAACACAGAGGGGGGTCCCTGCGAACGATTAGCTTGCGTTTGGCCCCCGTGAGAAACTCGCCTGGCTTTGCAAGTCCAGCCCGCCGCCATCCTGCGTTTGTCTCTGTGCTTTTTCTGTTGTTTGTTTGTTGACCTCACGGCTCGCTTCGTCTTGCAGATAAAGTGGAAGAGATGACGCATGGCCAGAAGGCCTCGCCCGCCGACGCCAAGGTCGCCACCATCAAACCGCGCCCCTCCAGCCGCTGCCTGGTCACCGCGGCCGACATGAACGTAGGTGGAACGCACACAAATAATGCGCCTCCTTAAGAATGACATCATCCGTTACAGAGTTTATGAGGAGTTTTATTTTATATTATGTTCATGTTGTTTGAAATCCTATTTTATTAATGATGGACGGTCCAGCTTGAAGCAAGTGAAGACTGTGTGTTTCTGGTCTGTAGGCTCTGTACCATGACCGCCAGGGAGTAGCAGTGGCGCCCCCCACCGTGCCAGGGGCCTTCCTGGGGCTACCCGAGAAGGGCACTTTGAAGAAGCAGAAATCTATAGGTAGGACCCGTGTCACATTAAGCGTGTGCATCTGAGTGACTCGTGGGCTCGTGCAGTATCAAAGCTAATTATAGATGAGTTATCCAGTCAGCAAAGTGTGCTTTCAGACGATAGCATTCACATGCTGAGACCTCGTTCTCACTGCTGAACTACATGGAAGTGGAGTAGATGACACGGTTCACAATTCCAAGTTGTGTATCATACGTTGTTGCAGCAATCTTTCGGGTTGATATATTTTGTCACACTTGGTGACATTATTTTTAACTCGAGAATGGATTGTGATGTGGTTGCAGATTTCTGAATTTCATTTGAATGTTGTGAGGGTCGACGGTGGCGCATGGAGCAGAGCGGGCGTGCATGACCTTTAACCCCCGTAACCGCGAGGTTGGCAGTTCGATCCCCGGCTGCTCCATGTCCCACGTCGAAATGTCCCTGGGCAAGACACCTGACCCCTAATTGCTCCCCGTTGCAAAAATGTAAAAGCCATGGGTTACATGGCAATGTGAGTCGCTTTGGATAAAAGCGTCAGCTAAACGACCTGTAATGTGATGTTAGCGGGTGAGCTAGTAATAGATCCTCTGAAGGGACTCCTGTCATTGCTTGTGAAGTTTCATCAGGCTGAAATTATTTTAGAGGTCATAGGAGATAATTTCATACAGTGAGGTTTCCAAAAAATAGTTATCACTTTGACTAATGTCGAACGTGAATACAATTGGGCTCATTTGTTCTACTCAGGCTTTAAACGACCGGACAGACTGTAGGACAGTAGAGCTTTTGAATAGAAAGCAAGAAAGCAAACATTCCGCCTTTAATATGAAGGTTTATTTCTGGTCCTTATTTCCGTTTGAAAGATCTCAGCTGATGTTAAATAAGTTTAACTGGTGTTGTGCAACTTGTCAAATGAACTCAGTAAATTCTGACTTGCTGCAGAAAACGCCGGCTATTCTTTTCCATCTCAGGACCCCCCTGCTCGGATGAATAAAGGTTAAGAAAGAACTTGCCTCTATAAGTGGAACATTTGCGGTGTAAAGAGGAAGCCATGCTGGAAATGAATAATAGGGCTGTCTCGACAAGGTCCTCACTTGATTTTTCTTTCTACCTCAATTCCCCAAGGTACCTCGGAGGACGAGAAACAGGGATTCCTCACACCTCCTCTACTCAAGTTCGCCCGGAGCCTCTCTATGCCGGACACCTCCGAGGACATCCCCCCTCCCCCAGCCATTTCGCCCCCCTCGCCACCCGACTACAACTCCGGCCCAACAACCAAGGGCTACGGCACCACGCGACCCAGCTTCCTCCAGAACTCGCCCAATGCAGTGAAGACCATTAGCCGAACAACGGATGTCGGCACGTTGAGGCGTGGCTATTACCGCCAGAGCTCAGAGCAGTTTGAGAGCACTCGCATTCGAGGCCGCGCGCCGGTGCCGGAGAACCCTTACTCTGAGGTGGGAAACAGGACACTGTACGTGCCGGCCAAACCGGCTCGACGGAAGGGCATGCTCGTAAAGCAGCCCAACGTTGAGGACAGTCCCGAAAAAAAGTGTCGCAAGCCAGCAAACCCCTCGGGGGCTGTTTCCATGCCCACTACACCCGTGGAACGAACGTGCTCCTCTATTCCGATCCCGACCATCATCGTCAAGGAGCCCTCCACCAGCAGCAGTGGCAAGAGTAGCCAGGGTAGCAGTATGGAGATCGAGCCCACCACCCCTGAACATCCGCCTCTCTCGCCCACTGTCTGTGGTTTGCGTCCTGAAGACCCAATGTCTCTCGGCAACCCCTTCGCGGCAGCCATTGCTGGAGCAGTGCGGGACCGGGAGAAAAGGTTAGAGGCGAGAAAGCACTCGAGTGCCTTCCAGTCAATAGACATCGGGGACGACGACTTCGGTAGTCCCACACCAACCCCTCGCCTGCGGCACTCAAAGTCCATCGATGAAGGCATGTTCAGTAGCGATGAGCGGCTTCGGAGGATATTAGGTCCGCCTCTCGCAGCACAGCTTGGGCCCCCTGTCGGCGGAGGTAGTGGCAACATGACTGACTTCAACACTCCTGAGCCTATGGTGGTACGAGAGCCCCTAAACACTAGAACAGGCCAGTGTCCTAACCTGGACAGTCCTGTTAGTCTCCCGTCCACTCCCCCTAAGAGCCACTACCGGGCCAACGGGACCTACCTACATCCTGTCACCGGCAAGCCCTTAGATCCCAATTCTCCCCTTGCCCTGGCCCTCGCAGCTCGTGACCGGGCGATGAAGGAGCAACAAAACCATCCTCAGAATCAGCCAACAAATCCTCAGGTTCAGCAGACGGCCAAGCATGAAGCCCAGTCCCTCCCAATTCAGCCAAGCCACAAACCAGACCTCAACCAACCGCTGTTTATCGACACCAAGCTACGCTCCGGGATCGAGACAAGTTTTTCCGCAATCTCCACGGCGACCATGGGGCGGCCCGGCCGAGGTGCCCTGCGGAGGCAGATGACGGAGCAAAAGTACGAGTCCGATGGGGCGCGAGAAGAGCGGCAGCATCAGGCCGTAGAGGAGCGGAAAAGCGCACCGGCGGATGTGGCGGACACATCGCAACCAAAGTCAGCAGGGTTGCTGATGGTACACACAAGCAACGAAGCGAGCAATAAGGTCAACAACCAGGAGGTGGAGGGGCAAGACAGCAACAGGCCATCTGAACTGAAGGACCCCAACCAACCCGATCCTGTCAATGCTGCAAATCTGTCCGCCAATCCCAAGCTGGGGTCCTCTCAGAGGAGGAGCATTACCGTGGGCGAGTCCATGGAGGAACCGGTGAAGCTGCCCTTCCGCATCCCCCCTCCCCCCCTGGCCTCTGTCGACATTGACGAGGACTTTGACTTCACGGAGCCCCTTCCCCCACCGCTGGAGTTTGCCAACAGTATCGACATACCTGATGACCAGGCCAGTGCCATTGCAGAGATGCTTCAGCAGCAGAGACGGAACGGGGGACCCGGCCTCCCCCAATACCACGCTCACGCCTCGCCAGCCGTCATGGATCTACACAAACGGCTAGCACACAGTATGCCTCCCTCATATCCTCCCCCTCCACCAGACTCTGAGTCAGGGGTGGGTGACTCGGGCATCGAGGAGGCGGAGAGCCGCAGGAGCGGGGATCCTCAGCACATGGACACCACCAACACCGTCTCCAGCATCTCCACCTTGTCGTCGGAGGGAGGCTTCTGCGACAGCGCTCTGGAGAGCCTCTATGCCACGGACGGACACGCCTACTTGGTGGATCGGCCCCCAGTCGCCCCCAAACCCAAGGGCAAGTCGGTCATCAACAGGACATCGCTTTATCACGACGCTCTCATAGAAGAGCCCCCAGAGTCCTACGGGTCCCCGCCTCAGGCCCCGCCCCCTCTCCCTTCATCCTCGGACCCTCCGAAGACTCCCACTCACAGGGCGTCCAAGCTGTGGGGCGATCAGCCCCCGGAGCTGCGCAGCCCCCCATCTCCACCGGACACCAAGAACACTGTCATCACCGAGCTGAGCTCTATTCTGCAGCAAATGAATCGCGACAGGCCGTCCAAGCCCGGAGAAAGCCTCGACTCCCCGACGGGGACAAGGGGGGGCTTTGGAACAAGGTGTGTGATAGTCATTGTTCTGGGTTTCCAAATAACCTTTTACTCAGATCTTCTCATCTTAATGTGTGTTATGTCCCTTATGTCCGTCCCAGATCTTCCCCTCGTCTTTACTTGTTTCACTGGTTACTAACTTGAGTTTTCTCTGCGTGGATAACTGACCCCTCACAGTGGTTTCACGGCGGATTGCAGTGTGCAGTTTTTACACGTAGTGATTCCTCAATGATGCAAAGGGTCGTGTGGAAAGTGGAGCTGGTTTAATTTTGTTAATCTGTTTAATTACAAGGTCGGTATGCACATAGTTTGTGGTATCACAAAGGGACGGATCCACCACATGCTCATTGTTGGGAAGGATTTTAAACAATGTCTTGTTGTTGTTGTATCTAGTTGTATTTGAAGTGGACATAAAGGTATGTAATGTGTACACGTAATGTGAAGGGTTTTCTCGTTGTTGAGGCTTGCTCTCTGTTTACATCTCAACCTTCGCAGGTTGCCAGAGGTGAGCACGGGTCTTTGTTCAGGGATCTAATGATGCCGAACCTGGCAACCTCAGAGAAGAGGTCGAGACATCCTATAACTCCCTCCAGAAGGACTTGATTATTTCTTGTCCGAATACTTTGCATGAGAAGGCTGTTGAGGAGTAGGAGCTGCTACATATGACATGACAGGATCGATAGCCGTGTTTTTAGATGTTCTGGGCACGCGGGCGTTTTGAGGGACCCTTCACCTGAAGCTCCAGCTCAGCTCATGTTTTTTTTAAACTCACATCTCTTCTGTGTGAGAGGGAATAAAAAGCCAGATGAATAATTCACCACTCACATGCATTTTATATGAATGGTCCCCATCGCTCATCAGGGAGCTGCATGAGCGAAGGAGTTGGTTCCACAGCGTCCATTGGACCAACACAGGGACGTCTGTTTGGGGGGATTGGGGTCCGGTCCACAAGCGCCCTCCATCACGCTTCACGCCCCACGCCACCGCGTTGTACACTTTTTCATGTCTAGTCTTGTCTGTTTGAACTTTACACCTTGTACTCATTTCATTTTCAGCCCACGCCTCACCATCTCCATCTCCATTTACTCCAGCCTCCTGTAGCTCCTTCAGCTCTTCTTTTCTCCATGCCCTCTGTGTCTCCTCAGGTAGGTTCCAAGTCTCGCCAAAGCCCAGTTTCCACTTTGATATTTTCATCCATCGCCTCCCCGCTGTCTGGTCTTTTTGGTGTTTAGCTCTCCGTCTGTGTGTTGGCATCGTTTTGTGAACACCGTCAGCGTAAATAACATACTTCATTCAACCTTCATGTTCATGTTAAATGCTAATGCCAGAGTCCTCCGCCTCTGGTCCGAAAACAGTCCCGTTAGGCAGCCTCAGGTCCTAGCTGGGTTAGCTTAGCATCCACCTCTCCTCCCCGGCGTCTGGTGGCTGGTTGGTCGGCCGTGGAGCGCTGGTCTCTGTTCAGGTTGGCGTTGTTTCCACCATGGTCGTATCTTCCTCTTGGATCTGTGTTTCAGATCTTTCTCCTGGTTGAAACGCACGGAAACATCACAAATACAGCAAGTTAAAAGATTTGATGAAGAAGAGATTTCCCTTTGATGCCTTCAAGATATAGACGTGATGCAACCTCTTGTTTGGATAGTCTCAGTTAACAACTGTTACCTCGGCATCGTCTTTATGTACCACAGTGATTATGGGATACCTCACACATTAAAGGGCTCTGTATCCGTATGATATTAGATAGTCATTAGTATCAAATACACGTGAGCCGTCCTGTAAGCTGCTGTCTGAGTTGAGCGTTTTACACCCCCTGCTCCCCGAGGTTGAAGCTCTGACTGTCAGACAGATGGCAACAGAGATGCACAGAAGATGGCCTAGATTCACACATGCTCCCCCAGCTCCATGCTCTCACCCCACGTCCCTCTGGCTCCTCTCCTCCGCTCTCCATTCGCTCTTCTTCTGGCGTTCAAATCAGACTCGGCGCCTGTGGACATTTGTGTTTATTTCTTTTCTATCCGGTCTCCCAGCCTCCCAGATTAAATGTGCGTTGGTTGCGCCTGTGGACGAAACGGTTGCCTGGCAACCGGCTGATGAGAGCAGCCTTGAGACCTATAGTGATGTCAGCCTGAGTCAGAGGCGGCGTGTGTGTGCGTGTGTGTGTGTGTGTGTGTGTGTGTGTTCGATGGAGCAGGAGGATGGCGAGCAAACCCTCGGCAGAGTTCAACATCATCTCACGTAGGTCACGTGCAGCGCTGCTTTAGTAGGCCACTGTTATGTAACACGGCACAGCCGAGTCAGTGTGTGTGTGTGTGTGTGTGTGTGTGTGTGTGTGTGTGTGTGTGTGTGTGTGTGTTCAAGCTTCTATAAATAAAGGCAGCTCTGCATGCAGGCCGATGAGCACGGCTTTGAATGCTAGGGGAGAAGTGTGTGTGGGGGGGACGCGGTGGGGCTACGTGAGCGTTTTCCCATGGTGCATCTGCACTGTAACATCCACAGAACTGTGATTAACGGTTTATTAACGCCGTAGTGATTTGAGTAAACCGTGTTCTGGTGGGTCTCGGGGAGACGGCTGTAAATGACGTTGCCATGGTTACCCCACTGTAACTGTTAGGGTGTCATCTGCTCCAATGTGTGTAACTAACAGAGGTGATCTGTGTCCCCCCCCGGGACTCAGAGTAGCTAAGCTAATTAGCCAATTAGCCAATCAATTTTAATTGACTTTTTACTCATGCTGATGGAGTAGCAGGATGGCGGGTGGGGGGTGGGGGCCTCGGGCACCTGTCCCCTGAAGATGCTCCTCCTCTCTTGTGTCTCATCCTCTGAATGTCTAACATTGTCCTCTGTCTCCATCTCATCCGTCCAACACCCCCTCCTGCCGAGAAGCTCCCCTCGGGCGTCCCATATGTTACCGCAGGGGGGGAGGGCGACACCGAGGTCAAACCTGTGTGTTCATCCATGTATCGGGTAGAAGACCTGGAGGGGGGGGGGATTGGTTCAGACTGAACCCCAGAATATGAATAACGAGTAGTAGTAAGTTGTAGTAGTAGTAAGTAGTAGTAGTAAGTAGTAGTAGTAGTAGTAACTAGTAGTTTGCAAACGTTACTCAGCGTTCAGTGTGTCGTCGTAACGAAACTTCTCTCCTTCTCGAGGAGGCAAAACTCTTTAGTGCTTCTCAATAAAGAGAAGAAAGAGCATCAGAGTGTTAATCACACTGATTTATCTACACACGAATAACTCATTCACTCATTCACTCATTTAATTATGAAGTAGCTGCTGTCACAATGAACATTAGATCAATCAATTAGAAATCAGTCCACAATGTAACAATGAGGTCTTCATAAACTCTCCAGAAGAATGATGTAAATATGTGAAGGGACCACGTCCCCCCATAGTGGTGAAGGACGAAGGACGAATGATGAAGCTGAATATCAAGGGTGAATATGAAGGGTGAAGGTGAAGGGTGAATATGAAGGATGAATATGAAAGGTGAATGTAAAGGGTGAATATGAAGGGTGAAGGGTGAATAGGACGGGTGAAGGATGCATCTGAAGGGTGAATATGAAGGACCAAGGGTGAATATGAAGGGTGAAGGGTGAATACGAAGGATGAATATGAAAGGTGAATGTAAAGGGTGAATAGGAAGGGTGAAGGATGAATATGAAGGGTGAATATGAAGGATGAAGGGTGAAGGATAAATACGAAGGATGAATATGAAAGGTGAATGTAAAGGGCGAATATGAAGGGTGAAGGGTGAATAGGAAGGGTGAAGGATGAATATGAAGGGTGAATATGAAGGATGAAGGGTGAATATGAAGGGTGAAGGGTGAATACGAAGGATGAATATGAAAGGTGAATGTAAAGGGTGAATAGGAAGGGTGAAGGATGAATATGAAGGGTGAATATGAAGGATGAAGGGTGAAGGATAAATACGAAGGATGAATATGAAAGGTGAATGTAAAGGGTGAATATGAAGGGTGAAGGGTGAATAGGAAGGGTGAAGGATGAATATGAAGGGTGAATGTGAAGGAGGAAGGATGAATATGAAGGGTGAATACCCCCCCTCGAAGGATGAATATGAAGGATGAATGAGAAGGTTGAATGTGAAGGGTGGAGGATGAATTTAAAGGGTGAAGGGTGAATATGAAGGGTGAATGTGAAGGGTGAATGTGAAGGATGAAGGGTGCATGTAGGAACCTCGGCTTTAGGCTGCGAGGGATCACGATTTGTTTCTATAGCAACATTCTAAACAATAATGTGTGTTTATCTAGAAACATCAAATGAGATGAAGCCTTTGATGAAGTTATGATTTCACATATTTCACATATTCAGAAGATCGGCTCACAGGTTTCATACGCAGCGACGTACATTCAGTATTTAGGTCGTAACGGGACCTAAATACTGAATATGAAGGGTGAATATGAAGGGTGAATATGAAGGGTGAATATGAAGGGTGAATATGAAGGGTGAATATGAAGGGTGAATATGAAGGGTGAAGGATGAAACATGAGGCGCTTCTCCTGTGAGATGTTTGTCAATCTGTGTCTTGCTTTAAAATACTGTGAAAAATGATTTCAATAACAGCTCCGGGGAATTCTGATCACTTAATTTAGTAAAATGAATAAGGAAGACGTAACTAGAATGTCTGTATGCAGATGTCACCTGAGAAGCTGTGACGCCCCCTGCTGGCCTTCAAGCTGCATCACATCTATTCTCATCATTTCAAATGATTTCATTCATCATACAACATCAGAATATATGAACAGTACGAAAAGAAACAAGGGAGAAAAGAAAAAGCCAAGAGGAGGATGAACAAAATAAGATAAATAAAAACCACAGCTTTTTAGTGACTTAAATCACTAGTTTTATTAATCTGGTATTTTCAGGCTGCTGTTGGGTTCATTTTGGGACCGTTTGCTTTAAAGTTCTTATGAATCACAGAGCGTATGAATGATTGTTTGTCCAATAATAATATGAATGATTTTAACATCGTTCTTGTGTCCATGACGCAGCGTAAACAGATTCAGGCTACTTTATAATCTGTGAATGACACAAATACGTATTCAGGATGCTCGAGTACAACAATCATCAAAGCGTTTTATAGTATTTTAATGTGTTTATATAAAGTATTAATATGCTGTATTATTGATGGCGACTCGCAGTTTTAACGTATAATCGATCACATCATGATCCAAACTATCGGCTGAATCCATCAGCAGATTGATCGTCCCGTCTCTGCCCCCCCAGGCCGCCGTCCGACGACTCAGGAATGCGCAACAGCGCCTCCACCCCCCCCAGCAGCCTCCCGTCACAGACGCAGCCCTGCAGCCCGCCGGACTCCGCCTCCTCCCTCACCCCGTGCTCCTCGCTGCCTCCCTCCGTGTCCCCCACCCTCACCGACGTCTTCGGCCTGCCCACCCCGCCCATGGGCAGCGGCGGCGCCTACAGCCTGAGCTCCTCGTGCGGCGGCAGCTCGCGCTCGCCCTCGCCGCTCACGCTCATGCAGCAGTCGGCGGCGTCGGGGAAGCCCTTCGCCTCCAAGCCGGTGGAGCTGTGGAGCAAAGAGGACGTGGCGGACTGGCTGGAGAGTCTGCACCTGGGGGAGCACCGCGACGCCTTCCTGGACAACGAGATCGAGGGGGCCCACCTGCCCTCGCTGCAGAAGGAGGACCTGATAGACCTGGGCGTGACCAGGGTGGGCCACCGCATGAACATCGAGAGGGCCCTCAAGCTGCTGCAGGACAGATAGAGCCTCCCGGGACGGGGGCGGGGGGGGGGGCACTTTTATACCGACCGCTCCATCCAACCAGGTGGAGGTTTTGTCCCGAACCGTCCTCTCTCATCCTCCGTCGGGCCTCGTCTCAGCCCGAGAACCAGCTGCTACGTCACATGGAGGAGACGAGTAACGAGGACTGGAAGGTGTGAAGCTCCGCCCCTCTCTGGAATACCCGACACGTTACTGGACACTGAAGAACCAGCTGAGCTGGTGGTCGCTCCTTTTCTATCTTTGCTAGAGTTTGTTCAGAGAATAATATTTCTTCACTAGAGTCCGACCGGAGTTATATTTCTGGGTGCATCTAAAGTTGTAGAGAAAAAAAATTGAGATAGACTCCATTTTTTCTTCTTTTGTGCTTTTCACCTGTTGTGTCAAAATAAGAGCTGTTTAAAACAGACAGTGAACCTCGTGTCACGCACACGCACACACACACACACACACACACACGCACACGCACACGCACACACACACACTTTATGCACACACTGACGAACGAGAGAACCCGCTGTCTTCACACACACACACACGATGGCCTTCTTCTCCTCACAGAGAGCAAAGCGTGGAGAGGATGGTTCACCTGAGGAGAAGCTCCGCCCACTCTCCTCCTGCCTCATCGTAACCACGGCGACCAATGGGAGCGCACTCGTGGCTTTTCCGATGTGTGTGTGTTTGATGTGTTGAAGGTTCAGACGTGTCCATGGAGGCTCTGCACAGACCTCCGTGTAGACAAACTCGAGCCGCTCTTTACTTTTATTCCTCTTCCTCGTGTCAGAGCTCCTCCCTCATTAGCAGGTGGGCGTGGCCCCGCGGCAGAAGGCTTTTAGAGAGCGAGCGAGCATTTAAAGGGACGGTTCGACATTTTTGGAGCTTTCTTGGAGCGAGTTGGATGCCACGTATGTACAATACAGAGCCTGGAGACAAGTAGCTTAGCATAAAGGCTAAGTGCTGATGCTAGTTACACATTTTTATGTGATCACGTGATGCTAGGGGGCCGAAGAATACTTTTCCCATAGACTTAAATTAGGAAAGGTGATGTCTGCAACTCCTCCATTCATGTGAATGAGAAGGAGTCCAGGAGGCGGGGCTTAACACAGGCCCTCGCCTTGATGTTCAAAGGTCCTCAGCCTGATTCCTATCTTCATGCTAAGCTAAGTGTCTCCTGGCCTTAACTTGAGAGCAGCATCGATCTTCTGCAGGACGATTAAAAAGCGTCTTCTCCAAAGTGTCAAACCTTTGAGTCCAGTGTTTGATGCATTTTATTGACTTTGAATCCAGTGTCAGATCCTTTTTGAAGGCCCTTTTTTAGCTTTCAACAATTTTAAATATCACAAGTGATAAACATCCTAGTATTTAAGAACTGATGGTTGACATTTAAAGAGCTCCAGGGAAACAAGGCGTTTTCTATACAGCTCAATCAACGTGATTTTGTACATTATTTTTTTGTTAATTGAAAAATGAAACATCAAGGAGATTAAAGACACAATAAGAGATTTGTTAGCATGAAGCTAACTGCCGCTCGTTGCCAACCACATCCCAAAATGACCTAAACAGATAAACCCCGAACCGGAGGAAACAGCTGTGTGATTCAGAGGATTCTGCTTCAGCCTGAAGCGTCGTCCTCCGTCAGCACCGGCCGGCTCCTCGGCTTTCAGAGCAGATGGAGATTCTGCGGCTTCGGGGGGTTTTACATGTCGAATTAGGCTTTTTTACGTAACTCTGCAATGTACTCGCCGATAACAAACAACCAGGAACAACCTGAGAGGCGGCAGATGTTCATCAGCGGGAGATTAGGAGAATAATCCGTCTCCTTATACCTTCTCATCAAGGGTCCAATCGTAAACTAAATCAGCGTTTATGAAGATGTGTGTGTTTGATAGCAGTGAATACAGGCTGGTCACGAGGAGAAGTGCAGTATGTGTGAAACGTGTACATAAGATAAGATACAAGAGGATTATATGTCGAGCTCCAGGGAAGGTCTACGGGAGAAGGGAATTCTATGAAGATGGATTCAGAGTTTGAGCCGACGTTACCAGCAGCGGCCTCATCCGGCAGAGGAAGCCTTACATCGCTCCCAGTTCCCTCCTCCACCTGCACCACCAACACCGCTTTTATCTCAGTAGATTCCTCCAGAGGCTCCTGACGGGGGGCTCCATGTGTGGATTTGATACACATATATATATATATATATATGTGTATAAATGACATACATGTCTATTTACCGTTTCATTGGGTTTCATATCATGTGGGTTCATCTTTTGTGGAGACGAAGCTGTGTTCTGTGAACATTGCTGCTATGCTCCTGATCCTGGTCCTGATCCTGGTCCTGATCCTGGTCCTGCCCCTGGTCTTGATCCGGAACACGTTCTTGATCATGGTCCTGGCTCTGATTCTGGTCATGGGCCTGATAATGTTCTTGATTCTGGTCCTGATCCTGGTCCTGCCCCTGATCCTGACCCTGACCCGGATCGTGGTCCTGGCACTGGTCCTGGTCCCGGTCCTGGTGTGGTCACTTGAGAGCGGCGTGTCAGAGGGAGTCACAAGCACAGTATTTTTAAAGATTTGTATTCTGAGTTCTATGAAGACTTTATAGAGGTTATCTGAACAAAAGCTGTTCGTTGAGCAGATGATTAACGCGGCATCGACAGACTTCTGGTTCACGTAAGAAGCAATATTTATTCTAAATGAATCTCCTTGGTTGTGTTTTATTGTCCATTTTAGAGTCACATGCTGACGTAGTTTCAATAAAGTGGAAATCGAACCCTTCTCGTGCTCGTCGGGGTCGCGCCAAATAAAATGTCGCCATGGTGACGCTGTGTGAGCTGCAAACAGCGGATGCTGATGGTCAGCGTCAACCCAATGCTATCTGGCTAACGAGCTAGTGTGCTAGTAGACGCTTTGATGCTACATTAGGTGTCACTCACACGGAACCTCGTGGGTTTGCATGGAGGTTGGCCCGCTGCACCCGTCACCATGGCAACAGTGTCCAGCCAACCATCACGCAGCTTCTCCGCTGGTTCCTTCAGACGAGAGACTCTACTGACGGAGGTGGACCACCATCTGCCTGACCAGACCCCCCTCATCTCCTGCACCCCCCCCCCCCCCCTTACTTTAGAGCGTGTATAAACAGAGCAAAATGTGTACATTTAAAAACACACACATATATATATATATATAGAATATTTATTTTGTAAATGCAGGGCCGCCTCGGTGGGGAAGCAACTGAACGCTCTGTGTTTACGCGCATAAATCCCAGAGGATCTCTGTGGAGACGTAGTAGGAATCTGTAGAGCTTCACCAGCCGTGTTTCATGGCTCACACCCCCCCTGCCCCCCCCCCACCTTCCATCGGGTAACTTTCTTTTTCTCTTCCTTTCTTGACTTATTTTTTGGCATTAATAGACTTTATTCTTTGATTAAGTCTTCATAGAGGAAACGATGTTTTCAGTAATTCGTGCAGAGATTTGTGTTCATGTTTTCCATGTTGCTGTAATTTTGTGCTACTAAATCACCAGTCGACTAATTACTGAGATGGAGAGAGAGAATTTTCCTGTAACTGCACTCTTCCGCCCCTCAAATCCTCGAGACTTCTTGTATGGCAACCAAAATTCACTGTAAGAAATAAATAAAATATTGCACTAGTGTGGCATCCGAGTGTTTACGGTACAAGAGATGCTGTGTGGCTCATTTTATATTATATTATAGTATAAATGTGTACATACAATATTAAGTATGCATATTTAAATGTTCCACCTGGGACTCATCAAATCCCAACTTACAGGACAGACTTAATACAAAAATAATAGTTTGAGAGGTTTCAACATACAATGGACAGCATCATCCCACAATGCATTGCACAGGAAATGGAGGAGCCGCCATGACAGCTGGACGCGAGGCTGATTGTGTTACTCCAAAGTTTGATGGACTAATGTGTTTAAATATACACATTAATGTAAAAAAAGTCACAGCAGTTTTCCATTTAACACAAAACTAACATTTAGGAAATAAAACCCCACAAAAGAGCTGATAATCCATAGTTTATTTATTGAAACAAAAAGCTGATAATGTGACTCAAGCAGGTAGAGATAAAAATAATGTATTTGAAAAGGTCACTTTAATTTCTTTATTATAAAACCCCCAAAATAATGAGCGCGCACACACACACACACACACACACACACACCTCTCAGCCTCATAAAGGATGCAGATGATTGTATTAATTAATAATCATATGCGTATTTGGGTGTTCATGGAAGCGATGCTGTGGGCGGCGGGTTTAAACTCCTGTGCTGACTACGAGGAGGCGAAGCTGCTTTTTGGTCCTCAGCCGGATGTTCGGTTCCGACTGAACGTCCTCTCTGCGGGGGGGGGGCGGGGGGGGGCAGCAGCAGAGGAAAGGCGGCGAGGAGACACACAGGTGACACGGGGGATGCGGGTCGTCGTGGCAACGGCGTCGTCATTGCCGAACCTCCACGTAGTTGGCGGGGAAGAGGCCGTAGGCGCCGCGGCAGACGCCCCGCCACCAGCCCTCGTCAATCATCTCGATGTTGGTGATGATGTCATCGGGGTCGAAGGAGATCTCGTCCTCACCGGCTGAGAGGCGGAGCGGAGACGGAGGAGACGGTTAATCGTGGAACTTACAATCATCCCCGTTGAAAGACTGCTGAGCCGCCCCGTGTCCCAGAATGCACAGCGCCCGGCCTCACCTGCTTGGTAGTCGTACAGCGCCACCGCTGTCACGCCGAGGTCCTCGCCGCCGTACTGAGCGTCTGCAAGAGGGAGACACCAAAGGCTGCGTCATGAGACTCATTTTCCCGTTGAATCAGCTGCTACTTGTGAACATCTGTAAATGAAACACGAACGAGACCTCTGGGCTGTGACCCTGTGGTCTCTGTGGCCTCCTGGGGGTCCTGGGGGTTCTGGTAGAGGTCCTCCTCACTCTGAGGCTCCAACTCGTACAGCTGCTCCTCCGCCTCATCCCGGGACACCACCTGCGTATTCTGATACAAACAGGATCCGTTCAATGACCACGGCCTCCACTAATGTCAGGAGGAGGCCATCTTCAAACCAGGCAAAGTAAATGTTTAATTATGAGCAAACAAAGACCCACCTGGTAGACCGCGGCGGCGGGCGGCTGGACCGGAGGGGTCGGACTGGGGCTCGCGGCAGGACTGGGGGAGGGTGGAGGGGAGGGGGCCTCGGAGGCCTCTTGGATCTTCCGACGGGCCTCCTCCTGCTCCTGCTTCTCCTTGGCCTGCCGGCGGCCTCGCTCCTCCTCGGCCTGCTTCCGGTCCTCCTCCTCCTTCTGCTTGGCGATGTTCTCGAAGCGGGCCTTGATGCTGCCCGTGCTGTTGGCAGCTGGCGGTCAGAAGACAGAAAGTGAGGGGACGAAGAGCCGCGGCGTCCACAGGCGACTCCGGGACGACGGGCGCTTACCGGCCTCCGTGGGTTTGGTCTTCTGGTACGACGACGAGACTTTCTGCACGTCCTCGAAGGTCCCGGCACTCTGGAGAGAGAGAGAGAGAGAGAGAGAGAGAGAGAGAGAGAGAGCGCACAACGTGACACACACAACTCTTTCTGTCAGCGCGCACACACACACACACACACCTCTCACCTTATCCATGCGGTCATTCTGCACGCCAAACTTCCCCCCAAACCCTTTGGAGTAATCTGGGGACAAACGGAGACAAGAGGTCAGTTTGGGGAGCAGAGCGAGCTGCAATCATGCAAACCTGCAGGAGGAGAGAAGATGGGTTCAGTTGACCTGAGGCGGGAGGACGGGGGGACGGGGGAGTCAGCCATCGTGCAGGGATTCACACGCAATGTCTCTACGTGCAGTGAGCAGGCGGGGACGAGGACATTTTAGTTTAAATCTCGTCCAAAATGAGTTCATGGAAACAAAGTTACTCTGACAGGGGAGGAGCGTCACGTAAAAGAGGGCGGTGCCAAAGGAAGAGGAACAAGCCAGCGGTGGGGGGGGGGGGGAGGGGGGGGGGTTGATAATGTCCAGGGGGGGTCTGTGCCTTTCTGGGACTCCCGCTGGGACAGGCCCTCCTTCTGCCCGCAGCCCAGACCACAATGGTCCTGCTTCTCCTTCTCTACCCCGTACTGCCCTCAAAACCCCGGTTTATAGTCTGCAACACACACACACACACACGCACGCATGATGGACAGAGACAAGGGGACTGGGAGGACGTCTCAGGGTCTATTCATGTGGAAGGAGCACTAATGAGCAGCAGGTCCTTGGGGGGGGGGGGGGGTCGTCATGACGTCCTGTTGGTCGATCCACACATGACATGATATGTGGCCTGACAGGAAACCAGTGACATAACAGAGCAAAGAAACATACAACTTACAAAGAAACCAACCGGAGTGGTTGAAAGTCAGAGGGCGGGACTAACGCAGCGGATCAGCTCACTTGATTTCTCTCGATTCAGAAAAGTTAATAATCGGAATTAAAAAAAAAAAGTCCTTCTCGCGCGAGATATTTGCCCGCTCACAGAGCGTGAACTTCCTCCCTCGCGAGGACAATCTCTGCTCGCGCTCGAAGGTGTTTTCTACGAATCTGAATATCTAATAACTTTAGCGAACTACGGAGCAGCCTGCGCAGATCTTACCTCATTATTTCCATTTTCCAAAAAGTCGATCCGTATTGAAAGTTGATATTCACAGATTTTGACTTTTTTCCGGTATTTTACAAATACAGACCGGTCTGAGACTACGAGCAGCTTTTCCTTCATTTAAAATAAAAATGAATCTGTTTAATATGTTTTTACATCGGCTACTTCATATCGTGTTGAAATGAAAGCTGTGTTGGTTCTTGCATGTTGATAGAAAATCTGATTTCTGACAAAGATTTATTTTTCTCTTATAAAAAATTAGAGAAGGTAATTCATCTGTTGATTTTCTTTAATTATCAAATAAAGTAGGAAGTGATTCGCAACCTCTGAGGAGCAAACTCAGATTTGAGAACATTTAGAAAATCGAGATGCATCGATAATGGGTTTAGAATCGGATCGTGAGGTGCCGAGAGATTCCCTCCCCTACCGACGACGTTTAGACGCGTGAACTTCAGGCTGCTGCTCATCCGCTAACATGCAAACACACAAATCTCAGCTGTGGCTTCACTTCCTCTTCTCTAACCGCACACAGAGGAAGTCTCTAACCTCAGAGCGCCACATCACAGCGCTAAACGGCTTCAGCGAGTCGCTGCAGGCTCCAGAGGAGCGGCGCTACCTTTCTGGGACTCGTGCAGCTGGAGTTTCTCCTGGTGGTCCCATCCCAGCGCCGACTTGTCCTGCCGGTCCGTCTGCACGCCGAACTTCCCCCCGAAGCCCTTCACGTAGTCTGCAGGGGACACACACGGTTTAAACTGACCACGCGCTAACAGAGCCCAATGCATTGTGGGAAATTATACATGTTATCTACACGCTGCGGTAAAGAATGCGCAGGTGTGCCAAGGAGCAGCAGGTGATGTCGTGTTATAACCGAGTCAAAACATGTCTGGACAGACGAAGGGGTGTGAGGGGGGGGGACAGACGGAGGAGGGGGGGGGGACACACCCACCTTTCTGGGACTCGTGCCTCTCAGTCTTCCCCTGGTACTCAAAGCCCACGGCGCTCTTGTCCACCTTGTCGGTCTCAACACCAAACTTGCCGCCGAAGCCCTTAGTGTAATCTGCCAGTTAGAGGGGGGGGGGGGGGGGGGGGTCAGTTTCTCTAAATCAACAATCCCGAGAGCACTAAACAGATCGGAGTCAAACACCACGAGCAGGCAGAGGAATGAAGGAAGAGGAGAAGACAACACGATCTGTCAGGACCTGCAGGGGAGTGTGTGTCTCTGAGTGTGTGTCTCTCTGAGTGTGTGTCTCTCTGAGTGTGTCTCTCTGAGTGTGTGTCTCTGAGTCGACGGGGGCGCATGGAGTAGAGCGGCTCCATGTCAAAGTGTCCCTGACACACATAACCCCTGATTTCCCCCCCGGGCAAAAATGTACAAAGCCACGTGTTACAAATGCAACGCAAGTGGCTTTGGATGAAAGCGTCTCCCAGACGACCTGTAATGTGACGTCTCGTGCGTCTCCGTGGAGCCCAGACGAACCTTTCTGGGAGTCGTGCTTCTCGGTTTTCCCCTGGTAATCGAAGCCCATGGCGCTCTGGTCCACGCGGTCCGCCTGCACGCCGTAGCGCCCCCCAAACCCGGTGGTGTAGTCTGCAAAGCGAAAAGCGGGTTAAGGGGGTCGGGGTGGAGCGGCACGGAAGGCGGTGGTCTGAAGTTACAAAGCGTCACCTCTCTGTGAAGCATGTTTCTCCGTCTTGCCGGCGTACTCGAACCCGACAGCCGACTGAGAGGAAGAGACAAAGACGGCAGATTGTGAACGTGATCTCGATTGGATGATTTATCACCCAGAAAACTAAGAAAGGCCTCAAACAAGATGTCGTTCAAAGAAAACGTCCCAGGAGACATTTATCTGATTCCAACAGGTCGTCTCTGTGGGGGGGCTCCGTCACAGCGGCCTGTAATTGTCCACCGCGATGCGGAGTGTTTGGACGGTGGGAGTACCTGGTCCACGCGGTCCGCCTGCACTCCGAACTTGCCCCCGAAGCCCTTGGACGTGTCCGTCTGGGAGCAGTGCTTGGACAGCTGGCTCTGGTAGTCGTGCCCCACAGCCGACTGAAGGACAGGAGGGAGGAGACACAACTCATCGGAGGGACGCCGTGCGGGACGAACAGGCCCACCAGGCCACCCGTGAGCGCTACGTGCGCGGCCCGTCTTACCTTGTCCATGCGGTCCTGCTGCACTCCAAACTTGCCCCCGTACCCGTGCGAGGCCTTGGGCATGGAGTCCTGCTCCTTCCGCTTCTGGCTGGTGTGCTCCGTGGACACCGTCTCGCGCAGCCGGTGGATGCTGCGCCGAGGACAGACAGACAGTTAGGGGACACATACTGATAGCACAGGGAGGAGGAGCAGGGCGGGTTCCTCACTCGATGTGCTCCTGGTGTCCCGAGCCCTCCACCGTCTTGGCCCCCCAGCGCTGCTCCCTCTCCGACACGTCATTCTGGGAAACAAGAAGCGGCGTGAAGCGGTGACGAGTGGAGAAGCTGCGTCGTGAGGAAGAAGCGCCGGCGTCGGTACCTCAAAGTCGGGGTCGGTCTCCCAGTCGTCCCCGCCCTCGTTCAGCGCCACGTTGACCGACTGTCCTGCTGCCGCCTTCCACATGGTCACAGCAACACGCTGAAACACCAGACGACCATTTCACCGTCTCACGTTTCAATCATTCCTCGACAAATCAAATGCATTATTACAGCGAAGGATCGCTGATGTTACAGAGACCTGAGCACCATCAGGTCCCTGTGAGGAATGTATTACTACACCGCAACATGCTCCACCCACACCGCAACATGCTCCACCATCAATCACACACACACACGAGACGTGGCTCCGATCACCACGAGAAGCCAAACAGAGGAAAAACGTCTCCCGACCCGGAAGTAGACATCCCGACACACACACACACACACACACATTTAGCTTAACGCCGGCTAGTTAGCAGTTAGCTTCAGTTACAGCAGAGCAGGTCACGTGATTAAAATTAGCGTTTGATCGGCCCAATTAAAAGCGGTGTCCCCTCAATAAGGGCCCGGGGGCTCACTGGTCTGCGTGTCGTGTTTTCGCCCCCCCCCCCCCCGCGGACCTGGGAAACCGGATGTGAAGCTCGTTAATAGATTGGTCGACGCGAAGCGATTTAACGTAGAAGTGGTTTCGTATCCGGACAGTGACACAGTAGCTACGTGCGCGCGTGTCTGTGGCGTTTCCCGTTGGAGACCCTTAGCTAGCTGGCTAAAGCTAGCACAGCCTTCTGGAATGATTAGCTGACTCAGCGCGAGGCCGGCGGTTCTCCACAGGTGTTCCTTGGGAACCTTCCTCCTCGCGAGGAGACGACACTCACCGTGAGACAGGTATCCCCGACCAGACAAAGAGTGCGAAATCCCGGGTGGTCCGTTGATGCGCAGGTAGGCTCGTTACAGGGATCTGCGCTCTCTCCCTCCGCGGTGCTTCCGGCTCTCCCAGTATTCCTCTCCGCCACGCTGACGTCACAAGTGGGTGGGGCACGTAAAACGTCGCTAATTGCGGCCAATTACCGTAAAGTGTACAATGAAGCACACTTCCCTTCTGCTTTCATAAAACGAAAAATCACAGATCCTTTGGAAAATTAGTGTCCAAAATAGGAAACGTTCTAGAAATAATTCACGTGTCTCAAAAATCACAAGTATTTCAAAACAAAAGGATTTCAGATTTTCTGCTATACAGTATAAAAAAACCCCACCTCAGTTAAATATTTTGACTCCGTTCATCTCCAATATTTATTTGGTTAGCTACGGAATGTCCAAACCGTGATAAAGTATATTGGTTTGTTACAAACACCCAACAATTATGGAAAAAAAAATTCCTTGTATCATTTCGTTTTATCCGATCAAATAGTAATTTGTTCCTTGTGGTTTTATCTATTTTGGCTGTTATGTTACTATGTGTAACAATATGAGATGAAAGGATTTCACAACAAACATGCACACCAGCCTTTATAGATCGTTTTTCACTCATATGGTTAAAAACATATTAAAACAAATGATAGAATGTTGTAAAAGAAATCATGAAAAAGGATGGAAATTTACTTAAATGTATAAATCCTGAATCGTGTTCATCTTACCTGCAGTGCACAAACTGGATCATTTATTTGAATTGTACAATGTCTAAAACCTTTCTATAATTAAACCAAATTTATAGAAATTATTCTAATACAGACCAGTTAAACTGAACTTTCCACCTTTATCACACGTCGTCAAAGATTCCTGAAAAGGCCTTTTCCATATTTCACAGCTTCACTGTTAGAAGAAGTTAGACACCAGAAACAGAATAAACTTTAGTCTTTATCTGCAGCGGAAAATGAGTTTCAGTATTTTATTGAAAGTAAGCAATAAATAATATTGTGATAAAAGTAGTTTTATAAGTACTCCAGACTGTACATCATTGTTACAAGATCAGAGATCGGTTGGGGGAATAAAACAGCAACACGATTTAAATTGTGCATAAATGACTAAATCACCAACAAGGAAAAAGTTTTCTACTTTACGCCTCAACTAACTACTCTGCCGTTCCTTCTCCTGTGTTTGGGGGGGGGGGGGGGGGTCCCGACGTGAGCGAGGGATAATAAATAAGAACGAGACGACAGAGGAGTCGAGAAGCGGTAAGGCTCGATAAGAAATCTTTGTAGAAAAAAGGGTCGTCGGCTGAGGCCTCGGTGAAGTTGGTCCATCGAAGGAGATCCACACTCGGTCTCCGGGGGGGGGGGGGGGGGGGGGGGGGAGGAGCTGGTGCGTGGACGGGGGGGGGGAGGAGGTCACGGAGGACCTTGATTTTCTGCGTTTCACCGCTTGCATCTGGAAGAAGCCCACTCGGGTGTTTTCTCTCTTCTCCGCTACCCGCTGTATGGCTTTAACTCTTATAAATTCATTTTGGTTTTGCAGATATGTAAAGAGGAAAGCAAAGACGTGTGTGGTCAGCAGCGAGGGGGAGGAGTCACCGCATGCAGCACTTTGTCTCCATAGTCACACGTCGACTAACAGCTGCTGTCACACAAAACAACAAGTAATGAGCTACACGAGTACAACAGTTAAAGGATATGAATCAAGTTATATCACATAGCAAAGTCACTTAAGCATAAACTCCATGATTAGAATTCAAATCAAAGAGGAGACCCCGAAAAAAACAAAACACACATCTGGTCAATAGAATCAGGATTATAAAAAAAGAAAGATAAAATGTTTGTTGGTAGAAATATACAAACTCCAGACAATAAAAACATTCCGTTACATACACCTGAAAGCTGAGCTTCAATGCGGTCGGGCGCGGTGGAGAAACAGGCCTTCATTTTAAAAAGGGAGGTGATTAAGGTGATAGAGGCAAAAAAGGGATTACGCTCATTCTAAAATCAATATAATGTCCCATTGGTTTACATAAATAAAATAACACGTGTAGGTGAATCTAAAAAGTTTCCACGAGAGACACTGAGATTGCTGAGTTTCTCTCTGCGATGACGACGGAAAAAGCGAAACGTCTTTTAGTGTCGTTTCAGTTCATCATCCTGGTCTTGAATGCAGGGAATTCCCCCTCGTCGTCGGACCAGCGGGTACCTGCAAAATAATGAGGAGGAACTGAGCCGGGCGGCGGTGACTGGACCAGGAGGCGGGTGATTGGGGGGGGAAGAGGCGTACAACATGCGTTACTGAAGCCAAGAGCAGAAGAAGAAACTGCAGGTCTGCAGGGGGGGGGGGGGGGGCAACGACACAGTGTTATCACGACACGAGTAACGATTCATATTATCACATTATTTTACTTTATCGGTCACTGTGATATTATAATGTTCATCATCACATCTGTAGAAGGCCCGTAGGTAATAAGTTCAAATACTTACGGCCCACTAGTGCCCCCAGGCCCCCCCCCCGGCTTACCGTTGTGTGTTAACACGAGTAGGTCCTGACTGTGGCCGTGTCCAGCCTCTGTATTGACTGACTTCCTGCGTGTCCACGGTGGCAGAATCACATGCAGAGACGTGCCGTTAGTCATCAAACGCACAGCAGCAAAGCCGTTCCACAACAACCGAGTGCGTCTATCCAGCCGCGACACACACACACACACATGCACATACACACACACGCACACGCTTACCTTCCATCGGGCTCCTCTTTGGCTGGGCGGAGGGGGACACGGCGCCGCTACCCGTCACTCGGAAGTTGGCGGGCAGCGTGTCGGACGCACCCAAGGACACCCCCCGCATGTCTTTGGGCCTGAACTTCTTCCTCCATGAGGGAGCGCGGCGGAAGTTCTTATCCTCGTCCTGCGGGAGCAGAGGCGTGTTTACACACACACACACACACACACACACACACACACAGTGTATAAACGAGGATTCATCTGTGTCTCATTCGTCACCTCGTCCGTCCTCCTCTCCGTGCCGAGGGCCAGCAGCCCGTTGTATTCGCGCTCCAGAGTCGCTCGCGCCTGGAAGACAAAGTGGTATTTAACGTTCAGCGAGCTGCGGGCGACTATCGGGCTTCTGGTCCCCCGATGAGGAGAGGACCAGAGGACAATCGTCCTCTGCCCAACCGGGCTCCACATACGGCGTTAAGCCGTGAGATGTGTGCACCTGCGTGTTCTGCGTGGGGATCTGCAGCAGCAGAGCCAGAGCGTTGTGGTCGAAGGTCTCGTCCAGGGCGAGCAGCGCCCCGTGGACGCCGCTCTCGTAGAGGTTGCTGCTGTACTCCTTGAGCCCGATGGCCTGGATCCAGGCGATCACTCGCTCGTTGCTCCACACCAGCACCTCTGAAGGGACACAGACGTGTCGTGATGGAGGAGGGGAACCGTTCAACCATCAGAGGGGTTTATGCAGCTTTACGTTTGCTTGTATTGTTTTATTGCTGCGGATAGTTTTTATCCTGTAAAGCACTTTGGCTGACCTCTGGCCTTTAAATGTGCTGTATAAATACAATCGACATTGACATTTCCTCCAATGTTCAGTACCGTGATGACATCATTAGTGTTTCCGATCATGTGACAATGTAAAACGACCAGTGTTTAGATTAGAGTAGGAGCTAGTAACAGCAGCGCTAACGGCTAACGGCTAACCAATGGAGATTGACTGCAGTGACATTACGGTGCGTTCAGGCTCTGCCCAGTGATCCAGATGTTTTCAAATGAATATTAAATGGATGAAGTAACTTCTGAACATTATGTTCATTATTATACAGCCTTTGAAACGTGTCAATCAATAAAATTGTTTTATTTCAACACACTTTCAATGACAAAGCGATGGTGACGTGAAGGTCTATGAGATGTTTTCTGCGTTTCTTACCTTGGAGGTCGAGCTGAGACGCCTCCCTCCTCCTCTCCAGCTCCTTCCTGTCGTAGTTGAGCCTCCTCAGAGACATCACTCCACACTGGAAGCTGTTCCTGTTGCGCCAACAAAACCAACGGTTTTACTGCTCGGCTGAATCGTTCTCACGTGTTCTACTACACGTTGGTTACACGACGTACCTGTGGAAGCTGTCCACCATCTTGAGCTGCCCCCGCAGGTCCTTCTTGGTCAGGTGGTCCAGCATGCGGGCGTCCACCAGGGACTCCATGAAGTAGGAGCGGTACTGCGGCAGGCCGAGGCTGGGCAGCCACTCGTTGCCGATCCACTCGTGGTTCATGTCTCCGTACGCCAGCGTCTGCGGTGGGAGGAGAGACGGTGGTTGACTTAAACGTTTGTGATGCGTGATGCAGATTATTCTCATGGGTCTCAAATGTCAATTAGAATAATTCATTAAAAATAAAATAACAGTACAATACTTTTTAGGACATATGTATTTTTTATCACAGTAATATATGGATTTATTTAATGACTAATCTTTTTATAGCATCTGTGTCCCTGTTTGTTTACTATTTGAACTTGTTAGACAGTAACCACGGTAACCACCGGTTTCCTTCAGAGACCTCATCGCCGCTTCAGTTAGAAAACTACCGGATAGAACTCGGATTCTAAAAAATGTAAATACATATCAATGTATTGAACAAAAATGATGATTTAAAATAAGAAATTCCCAGATTTTTGCAGATGTTGAAACACAAGATATTTTATGAGAATGTGCAGAATTTCTTTTGATGAAAATGTTACCGTAATTGTGTTGACATTCTTACTTTTTACTGTGTTATATTCTGCAGTTTTTACTCAAATCACTAAAACGTCAACAAATGCATCAAACATGTGGAGTGAAGATAAAACTCTTGACTGAAAGGATGCGGTTAATAAAAGCAGCTGGACGGGGGGGGGCGGGGGGTGCAAACCTGGGCCCAGCTGCCCCCGTCATCCTCCTGGTGTTAGCGTGGTTAGAGTGGGCGTGGTGAGAAGAACAGAAAGGGGAGGAGTTAGTGAGGCAGCGGTGCCGTGTTAGAGAAAAACAAAAACAATAAATCAGGAGTGTGTGGATTGAATTAATTAACCAATTACTAGTATTTATCTGTGGTTATCAATATTCATGCAAATCATATATAATCGTAATAAATAGAGAAGCTACATCTCACTCACACACACACACACACACACACACACACACACACACACACGCGGTCTAGAAGGAGAAAAGGTCACGTTTCAAGTTGCCCGATGAGACTCTACATTGGATTAATACCAAATTAAGTGTATTAAATATTAGTAACAGTGATATTCATATTTTCGGCGTGAAGGCAACGTGGAACGAGAGCCGAAGGTCACCACAGCGGCCACTCAGGGGGAGACTAACCGTGGGAGGTGTTGCTGCCAAACTTTCCATTTCTTCGTGTGTGAGCCAAACGTTTCCTGTGGTCTGATCATGTGACGACCGCACCCCACCACCCCGACCCGCCCCCACCCGCCCAATCACAAGTGAGAGAAACGTGAAAGGAGTGAGGAAGGAGAGAAGATAAAGAAAGTGTGTTTATTTTCATCACTGTTAGAGAAAGTTAGTTCATGTTAATGCATTCAAAGTGCAGACAGGGAGCCTGAAGGCATCATCAGTACCGTTCTGGAGGTGGGCGGGGCCGATGGGCTGGTGAGTGACATGATCTCCTGGATGGCGAGGCGGAGCTTCAGGCGGTGCAGCGGGTTGCTGATGCCGATCTCCCTCTGGATCTCCGTGTCAGACAGCGCCGACATGATGGCACCGCTCTTCACGTTAGCACGGCACGCCGCCACGTACCAGGCCGGCATGCCCACCCACAGCTGGAGGGAGGGGTAAGTTCACCCTTTGTAAACGTGTTGGACCACAAGACTCAGGAGAATTTCTAACAGCTTTCTTTGCTGTGGAGACTTTGGTCGTTCATGTTTAAGTAAGGAAATCAATGATGGCATCGTCATTGATAAGCTAATTACCTATTTTTTTTATTTGAAATGCTGTATAATAATGTGCTCATGTATGTACGAGGTATTCACATGTGGCGTATCTGCACCGTACCTCCAACCAAACCACCACGGTGGGCCCGTCCCACTGGGCGAAGGGAAGGCCCTGCATGCGAGCCTCCTCCAGCAACTCCTGCCTGAGGTACGAGAGTAATATTAAAGCCAGCGTGCACACAGACAACACGCCATCATGAAGACCCCTATATGCACAAACCCCAGAGAAGTCATGTGACATGCATCCTCAGAACAGAGTGGAGGGTTGAGAGAAAACCAAGCAGTGGAAACGCAGAAAGACACACACACACACACAACGAAAGCCTCCTGGGTCCTCCTCAGGGTCTCTACTGCCCAGGTGCAACCGGATGGGTCTCTCTGCCAGACCAGATCTCTGTGGGGGTCCACGTAGAGTGAGCATGAGAATGCGAACACGTTCCTCTACAACTGGGGGGCCACAACATGCAGGGGGAGGGGGGCCGGACCAAACGTTCAGAGATTCGGCGCTACTTTGAGATGAAGGGCGTGCTGGTGCTTTGCCAACAGATGGAGCTGTGGGCCACAAAGAACCGGGACCGACCCGTTCTCAGTACGGAGCTGCAGAGACGTTTCTGTTCTGAAGGCCACTCAGCTTCACTTCGTTTGTCCTCCAGCGGCTCGTTGTAATTGATTCATTTTCATTCATTCTTAATAGCTTTATTTATTCTCAAGGTTTGATTTGTATTTTTCTCTCTGCACTTTTGTAAATAAGGTCTACTTGGATGTTTAAATGAATGCAAATATTTTTGCAAAGACCAATTAGCTTTAATTCAATTCTGCAGAAACTCACAATAACAATTAGTGTATTATTGAAATCTAATGGAGAAGAAATCCAACTCTTTAGTCCAGTTAACTTTCCCACAGTTCCTCATGCACCAAAAGGAAAACCGCAAGAGGAAAACACACACACACACACACAACAGTACAGAGCGGCGTGGAAAGCCTTCAGGCAGCCAGAAGGACGAGCGCTCGGGGTCCTCTGAGTTACTGGTGAGGGTCAACGTGAAGAAGAGAAGGCAAAGCAAAAAGCAACGTGAACAACTTACCCCGTCTTTGGACTACACATGGAATGAGATGATGGAAAACAAAAACAAGGGAGAGGGAGGTGAGAAAGAATGAACTCATTTAAGAGCAGCATGGAAGCAAAAAAGAACCAAAAACAGTCATGTGTTTGCATCATGTTTCAAATACCAGAGGGAGACACTTGCAGTGGAAGTGGGCGTGGCTGACAGAGCGAGCGTGAGCGTGAAGGGACAGCGAGTGAGAAGGTGGAGATCATCTTCTAGACGCATCCTCTACACAGGGGCTTCCAAACCACGGCATCAAAGTCTAAACATGTTGTAACGGACTGACACGTTCTGTGAGCTCATAAGGTCAGTGAAGGGCTCACGATGTGATGTCAATCATCTTAGTGCGGCCAATGGGAATGCGTTGTGGTGACGTGGGAGTAACGGAGCGTTGTTGTAGTTCTGCTGATTAACGGTTGGTCTGCAGCCACAGAAGCCCGTTTACTTGATTCATAATAAAAGCGTAAGAAGAACGCGAGTCCAGAGCTTCATCAGGGAGAGTCGATACAATATAACGCACTATTTCCACTGTGTTGCACTTCTTAGTTGAACACAGTTCTGTCAACACATTCAGGCTCAAGGGCTTTTCCACAGAGGACTTCGTTGCTCTCTGATGTCCCTGCTGCATACGGGACCTTCTCTACATCCTGAGGTGCGCTGCCTCCGTCCTGCAGCGGTTTTATTCCCTGAGATATTGACAAATATTGACATGAGCCAGAAAAGGGTAGACGTCTCCATGAGATCACGGACCCTTTATGGTGTTTTTAGTGGAGCTCACTGATCATCTCAACACCCTGAACAAGAGACTACAAGGTAAAGATCAGCGGGTAACATCTGCACGCGCACATGGAAGCGTATTCAACGTAGCGCACCTCCAAATGCAGAGCGCTCTGCTAAAAGTGAACGAATTCAGAAAGAAGTCAGACTTTTCTGTCATGGGGAAGGAAATCACTCTGTTTTCAATGGATGCAGAAGAAGTGGAGGAGAGTCGGCAATGAGAACTGATTCAGTGCGATGATTCTGTGAAGAATCAGCATCAGCTTCTCTCCCTACGGACGGTGCCCTTTGCAAAAGATGAGAACGAAGAGTCTGTTGGACTCCGAGATTCTCCGTTAACGCTGAACGAAAGCCGACTGAGAAGCAGAAGGACCGACAGCATCTCGTCCACCAAGCGTCCTCCTGACCGTCCAGCGGTCCTTCGGACCAAAGCGCAGCGTCACTGCTCCTCTGAGCGCAACCGTCACAAACATACACTTTATCTCTCAATGAGCCCAGTTACTGAATACATTCAGTCAATCCTTGACGACCATTGTGAACACATGAGCTGATGTGGTAACAATCCCAATAGTTTATTTGTGTAATGAGCTTAACGTCCACATCCCGTTTGTCTCGTGTCCCCCTTCGTACAGGACGATGACCTGCACACCTCTGTCAAAAATAAAATACAATTCTACTAATGGAGAGCTATGACGGAGGCTTGTTTTCTTCAAACACTGATTTTTGCTGTGTTAATTAGGAGTGAGGCAGTAAACCTCACGTCTAGTGAGTGGACCCGTCCTTCCTATATTTTTCTGTATGTGGCTCTCGGAGAAAAAAGGTTTGGACACTGATCTACTCCGTCAACTAACCAACCAACCAACCAACCAACTAACTAACCAACCAACCAACCAACTAACTAACTAACACTGGTTGGTTGTTTAAGATTAAATAAAGTTTTGTTGACGTCCTGGTCGCGTGTTTCACTGAACTTCCTCTCTACCTTCTGCTGGGTCTACATGCGGCGAGGAGACAGCAGAGGGGATGACACTCACTTCTTCTGCAGCTTCCGGTTCTTCTCCGCGGGGCCCCCCAGGGTGCCCACCCCTAAGCCGTCCTTAGGGGAGCCGTCTGCCTCCGGGGTGCCAGCTAGGAATAGAAGACACACATGGTGAGACGTGTCGGGCGCACACACACACACACACACACACACACGCGCACTGTGTGGCGGGACGTGGTCTGACCTTGGCTGGGGGAGTCTTTCGTGGGGGGGCCGGGTCGGCCCTTCTCCTTCTTCCCAAAGAGGCGCCCGATGGAGGACTTGATGCTCTTCTTCTTGGCGGCCTTGTTGAGGGAGTCCTGGCTGCTGCTGCTGCTGCTGGGGTTGCTGCCGGCGCCGTCCTGCAGCCCGGCGAGGCTACGGGGCGAGAGCAGATCATCAGAGCCGGTCCTTACCCGGAGGGCGGGCACGAGGGTCATCTCAGCCTTACCCTCGGATGTCTCTGATGTCCTCGTGGCTGGCGGCGTGCCCCCCCTCCCGGCTCATGCGCATGGAGCGCGGCGTGGTGGGGGGGGACGTCTCACACCGGATGGTGGCCTTGTCGTCCTGAGCAGACTAAACCGCGGCGAGAGAGACGCACGTTAGGGAGCCAGACGTTTCGCTTTAAGTAGGAAGTAACAAATTAGGAACCGGCATAAAAAGAGACCCCCCCTCCCCCACTAACGTACCGGCCGCGTTACCATAGCAACCAACTGGCCCATGAGCTCGCCATCAGTTCCACCCACCGGGGGATTGAAATGCATTTCCTACTTCTGACTAACGGACAGAGCAGCAGCAGCTACAAGTGTATTGTTTGGACTATGAAATGTTTCGACTCACATTAGTCGTGTTTAATCATGTTGGGAGTGTTAATGAGCATGTAATCAATTTTCTGAAGCTCCTGTGATGCGTTTATAGCTTCATCAAAACTCATTAAACTCGTGTTTTTGTATCGCTATGGTTGAATAAAAGCATCAGCTAAAGGACACGTGATGTGATGTGATGTGATGTTACCCCATCAGCGTTAAATCATGCAACTCTATTAAATGTATTTTACATCAGTCATCAGTTATTGCAAATTAACTTTCTCCGGATGGACCAAACGGGATATGACGACAGATCTAAACGTCGGTGGAATAAAACCCTTGCGTGTCGCTTTGAGTTTAGGTTTCCCCGGCTGGTAGCTGGGTGAACATTAGAGACAGAAGCTGCACACTGAGGAAGCACAGTTTACCTTCCTGCGGTGCTTGCGCAGGTCGCTAGGCTGAAGCATGGCAAGAAAGAAAACAAGAAAAAAGGGGGAAAGAGAAAAACAGCAGTTAGTGAGACGCACAACAGACTGGCGGCGGATCCAAAGCCATGCAGACACACGCAAGTTGCCAGTGATGTGCAATGAAGGCGTGCAGCAAACGAAGCCTGCAGGAGACACTGCTAAAGCCCCACGGTGAAGGTCGGGTGGGGTCAGGTGCAGCCTGAATGTGAAGCGGATGGAGGAAGAGGAGTCGCCGAGTTGGCAGCACTGATCTGGAGTCAAAGGATGCAAAGATCTCAATGCTGATTGGCCAACGTCCCGTCAAATCAAAGAGGTTTTATCGGAAATATCACCCCCCCCCCAGATAAAAACTCGGGATCTACACGATTCACATGGATGACCTAAGACCCCCCCCCCCCCCCCCCCTCTACATTCCTCACTGGCCCGGCATCAGCAGACCAAATAAAACATCAGCCTGCTACATTTCAACAGTAGGTCTTTCGCCCCGCGGGAGGAAAAGGAGCTAATCAGTCACTTTCCTCCCCTCCTCTGACTCACCGAGGGGGGAGATAAGGGAGATAAAGCGACACAGGAACAGGACCTCGTTTTATCGCCCTAAATGTCCCCTGGAGCTTCTTTCCCAGTTGGAGTTTCTCACAGACCTGTTCACCTGTTCTGTCCACCTCTGATGCTCTACTGCCCCTCATTGGATGAACCGAGGGAGACTTTTCTCCCCCCCTGAAATCCTACGAGGACGAAATCGCTTCAGCTCGAAGAGGAGCAGCAAAAAAAACCTTCCTCTCCCCTCTCCCCCCGCTGTGTTTACAAAAGTCTGGGCCCAACAGGATGTAATCGGCGTGTTCCTCCGCCTCATGCCGATTGAAACAGACCGAGCAGCATCGGACCCACGGGGGAACGGAGCGGCGCGTCGGCCGTAAAAGAGACGTGGTCACCGGTGGGGAGGATATGCGATCTGAGGCGCATTAACCCGTTAACTCACATCGTCTAGGCGTTACCTGGCGACCACAAGGAGGACACGCCAAACTAATCAAGGAGAAGAATTGATTTCCACCTCCATGAATCCTCCCAACGGATCAATTTAGTGCGGCCGTCACTGATGTGAGTAACTCTTGGTATCTTGGTACAGCCCGCTCTGATTGGTGCTTCCTTGTCACATGACGTGTGCTGTAACACTGTATCTCAGGGCGCAGCAGGAGCTCTTCTGCAAAGTGCACCCGGAGAGGGAGGGGGATGGGGGGGGGCGGCATCCGTCAGGTGCCTAAAAGTTTGGCTCATAGCTACAGGCTCGCACCAAAAGGCAGGTACGCGAGTGTCTGCTGGATGACGTTGGGGTTAGAGCGGTTACACACACACACACACGCACACACACGCACACACACACACGCGCACACGCACAGTGAGCGGAGACGACGTCGGTGTTAAAGCAGACGGGGACGAACCGTAAACTACATCATAGAACTACACGTTGGGACTTTCAACCCCCATCGGCACGTTGAATGAAAGCTTTACCAAGGTCATGACCCCCATGCGGTCCAGCTCTCTGTTGGGGCTGCGGGGGACGCGTCTGGGGGTCGAGTGGCCGGAGCCGGGGGGGGATCCGCCCAGCGAGGAGCCGGGACACAGGGACGGTGGGATGGAGCCCATGGAGCGGAAACGCCCCCCCAGGCTGTCGCCGCTGCCCACCCGGCACTCGATCTCCTCCGCCCGGATGACCGTGTTCTCCTTCTCCTCCTGGATCATCCTGCAGGGACGACGAGGTCATTTAGCCCCCGGGACCCACACAACACACTATATGCTAAAATCAAGGCTGTAAGAACCGTCCATCATCACGTTTTCATCCTCTGTGGGGAAAAAACCTTCCTCCAGAAAGAGCAGCTAAAGTGAAGCTTAAAGTAAGAAAAAAGAATTCTACACGCCGCACTAACAAAGCGTTTCTGTAAAAACATCCTGCGCGCTGCACTGAAACTATGACGTCATGATGGATGACGTCATGTGACCATCAGAGGATCACTGGACACAGGTTAGTTTTAATCTTATAGTTCTTTATACATTTATAGATGTCTTTCATCTTACAAACGGGATTGATTTCAAATTTTAATAAAAGAAAATGTATTTTTATTTTGAATAAAAACGTCAGTAAATACATGCGCGAGTTCTCCGTGCTGCTCCATGAACGTTCGCTTTCCATTAAAAGGACTTTTATTCTAGTTAGAATCAAGACCCCCAGAGAACAACGTCAGCTAAATAAAACCTGCAGACACGAAGCTCTGCGTGCACCGACCTGATCTCGTTGTTGATGGCGTCCAGCTGCTCCTGCAGCATCAAGGCCAGCGTCTGTGCGTCCGCCTGCCCCCCCGGGGACAGCAGGTCCACCGAGCTGAACATGGTCTCCCGGTCGTCCTCCAGGTCCGAGGCGTCCATGTCGCTCTCAAAGGCCTGGGCCACGTTGGCCAGCACGTTGGCCTGCTGCATGCGCTCCCACTCCTGCTCGTTCAGCGTCTGCACCTGGTTCGTCCACAGTGGGGAGAAGGAGAGCAGGTGAGACGTGGAGGGCAGGGGGACGACGCTGTGGTGAGAGTTACCAGAACCTCCACGCTGACTTACATGTCGCTGGAGTCCAGAGCGGAAGCAAAGAGAAAGGAACGAGAAAGAAGAATCATCAAAGGGAACCGTTCACAAAGAGACGAGGTCCAGTAAATTCTGTTCAGAAAGTTAAGAGATCAGCCAAGACGTGATCATGGACTCTAATGCGGTCTGTCCGTCTCCCACTGGACTCGTCAGTGTTCATTATGATGCATCTCGTAGATAAAGACCACGCGACTAAATCACAGATCTGTGGGGCTGCGATTAATAGTTTGAAGCTCCAATGCTCCATGAAGCTGATGAAGATCAGGTCACACTAACGCTAATAGTATTATTATATTTAGGTTTTACGAGGTCCCCAAAAATTGACGAGCGGAATGAATTCTTGATTTAATCAACAGACACAACTTTAAATATCGTGTTTCTTTAATTAAACAAATGATTCGGCACAGAAAGAAACAAAAGACTAAAGGAAGTTGCTGATGTCCCGACGTCGTCCTGAAGGACAGGAAGTGGATCTCCGCAGCGGGAGAGCGAGCAGCTCACCTTGGACGGCTCGTCCCGGAGCGCCGCCGTGCGGCCCTTCTGAGGCCGTCTCAGCACCAGAGCGCTGCCGTAGTGGTCCGAGTTACTGTCCATCATGGAGGAGGCCGACACGGGGTACCGGAAATCAGGAGTGCTGCCCAGCTGAGAGCGCCTGAGTGGGGGGGGGGGGGGAGAATATAAAACATCACGATAAACCGTGGAGAGGCGCTGGGTGCAGCAGGCGGAGACAGGAAGTCTTACCCGGGGAGGAAGGAGCTGCTCCGGCTCCTCCCCTGCTCGTTCTCCGCCCTCATGGTCTCAATCTGGATAAGGAGCTGCTCCTGTAGGGGGAAGACAATCACAGACGCACCGATCAGTGGGAGGAATCAAAAAGGTCTGAGGGCATTAAGCCTAGTTTATGCTTCTGCGTTTACAGGGACACGCGAGTCTATACGTGTCTTTTCACACCTTCTTGCGTCTGAAGCTTTGCAGCCTCCTGCAGCAGCAGGCTGTGATTGGTCTGCTGACTACGTCCTTTACGGAGTCTCACATCTCCGTTTTCACAGCACAATACGGACGTTATTAAAAGGAAGAACGTTTACGAGAGAACGGATCAGATTGAAGAGCTTTTGTGGGAAGAAATGCGTAAATATGCCGTCATTGGCGGACTATGAGGACGGGTCAAAGACACACAAAGACTCTCGTCTTCAACAAAACACGTCACTCCGCCTGTTGTTCTGGAGGTGAATCGCTCTGCAACACACGCAGGACTTTACAACCAGGAAGTGAAACGAGTGCGTCGACACGCAGAAACATGCGCCGGCCTTTAAATGACGATAAAATAATATTATATATTTTTATATATAATAAGAAATTATTAGCTTTCTTTTTTCCTTTTTCCCCCCCTCACAGAATAATCAAGGAGATGCAATAAGCAGTATTGATAAGAACTGGTATTGACACCCGTCCTCTCCACAGCGCTCAGACCTTCTCATGGTGAGAATCCTCAATCAGCTTCTTGGTGTGCTCCAGCTCTCTGATCAGGGCATTCTGGGAAGAGACGGACACAAAGCAAAACTGATAACCACGTCCGGCGAGGTTGACACGTATCGGCAGACGCTGTGCACCAGTCACCTTGTCCTCCAGAGCAGACATGCGCTCCTTGAGGTGCAGCTGGAGCCTCTCGTTGGACTCAGAGAGGAGCTTGTCCACCGTCTCCGAGAGGCGCTTGTTGTGCTCCTCGTTCATCTTCTCTCGCTGCCGCGCCTGAGCCAACAGAAAGGCCTCATTTAGAGCGTTAATGAGTCCCCCCCCGTAGAGGCGGCCTCCGTGCGACTCCCCCGCCTGGCTCACCCTGAGCAGCTCCTGGTTCTTCTCCTCCAGCTGGGCCTCCAGCTGCTTCAGTCTCTCCTCCACGTTCCCGTGGCGTTCCTCTGCCTGAAGAAATAAACAAACAGCACCTTCGTATCTCGGGGTGTTCGGTCCTCTCAGCGCCGAGAGGGACGGCGCCAACACACACGTTAATGATAATCATCATGTTGTCAGTTGTGTGTCTGTGATGAGCCAATGTTCATCTTCAGCACAGCAGTTACATGCTTTGATTGGATTGGATTTGGGGGGGTCACAGACACACAAACCAACCAGCGGTTTGCGCAGCCATGTTACTCAAAGAAAAGCCCATATTTTAAGTCTTTATGGAAATCTAAGATATCACTTTTTTGGGTTAGGTTGAAATATGACGACGCCAACGTTTTCAAGAAGTCAGCGAGGCCGAGGTCATGTTCCGTATTATAGCTGAGCGGCTGCATGTAAAAGTACTCCTGATATATATGCTCTCTATAAATTGAGGTACACAAAATAAAAATCTCTTTCATGTAAACAACGTCGTCCAAATAAAGAAAATATGATTAATTCTGACCCGTATTGATTCTGTTATATTTGGACTAATAGAATAGTGTGCGATCCGTCCCTGCATCGTCCATGTTATCTCTCTTTAGATGGTAATGAGGAAGCACTCGTCTCTAACCGATGGAGGCTCCGGACAGCCACGTGTTAAAGGGCCTGATTGTGTGTTTGAAGTTGAGGTGAGATAACGGTAATATAAAGATAATATAACGGACATTGATGCCTCTATGTCTCTATCTAGTGCACCGACACACTTAACATCACTAGTGTGTCCAGCTCAGCAGGGAACCGGTGAGGATCAATGGAGAGATGCTGAACACACTGAAATGGTTTACAAAGAATAAAACATATTCAATAGTGGGGAATATGTATTATAAGTTTAACCTAAAACTAAATCATTTCATTTGAAATGACGTAGATTCATTATTGCAGTGATTTGGGAGAAAACTTTTACAATACATTTGTCTCCTGCTACACTATCCATCTTTATGTTGCAAAGCGTTCCTGAGGAAGGAGGTTGGATCCCAGACATGCGCGGTGAGCCGGTCAGACACCAACAAGGTGCCGAGTTGCCTGCTGGGGTCGGAGACCAAGACTCAAACTATAAATGGAAGAACACACGAGACAATTCTCTAAAAATAGTTCCCTGTGCGCGTTCGGAGCAGCATAAACAAAAGGAAAAGACCCCACGGCCCAGAGTTCATCAGGAGCGAGACGTCTATTCATTCTTGTTAGTTCCCCGAGGCAACGCGTCAGGGGAAGGTCTCAGAGGTTCTCAGAGGTCCGCGTTCACACTTCAATAAAGACCAACTTGAAACAAGAGAGGCTCTTTCACGAGGCAGGTGCTGGTACCTTTGTGAGGGCCGCCACCCTCTGAGCAAGCTCCGCCTCCACCTCCGGCAGAGTCTCCGCCTTGCGGATGGTCTGCTGCAGCTTCTGCTCCGCCAGCTCCAGCTTCTCCTGGAGCTGCCGGTTTCTGTCCTCCGTCTACGGACAAAAAGAGAGAAAAGCCAACAGTGGTTTGCACATCCTGGTCCTTTTGGATTTAGCCTTCGGGCCCCGCGAGGTGGACAGAGTGCCACCGAATGAGACTGCGGCTCAGGGCAAAGAGACAAAGGGGAGAAAGGGATGGGTGAGCGTGGGGAGGGCAGGAAGTGAGCATTCATAGGCACACAAAGGAAGGATGAAGCCCCCCCGGAGGAGGAGAGGGCAGAGAGAGACGTCTCCATCCCAGTGAGTACATGTAAAGAAACGGGCCAGTGTGTTCGAGGCTCCTCATTCACTGCGTGAATGCAGCAGGAATTCGTTAGCAGGACTTTGACCAAAAACAAAACTGCGGGGATTCCGGGTCTCAAACAGCCGGAATCACCACACGCCTCCGCCAGTCCCACCGGGCAGCGAGGGGGTGTGAGGAGATTACAGATCATAATTGATGCAGCGAGCTTATTAACCCTCTGAACCAAAGAATGTTTTATCTGTGTAGCTAAAATAAGAAGTCCTGAACTCATTGGAAACAGAACAGTCAAAGCTAGAAGTAGAGAAAAGTGCACAGCATATGGGAACGTTTCTACAGGTGGTACCGTGTAGTGTATAAATCCTCTGAAGTTCAGTCAAATTTAATACAAACAGAAGAGCCCTTCCCTTTCCCTCCGATGGCAAATAAGTCCACCAGCTGGAGCAGCGAGTAGTCGAGGACGAGAGGAACATCGGTCACGTCCTCTCGGCCCTTAAGGAGCTACCTGTCTGAAGAGCGAGTCCTTGTTGGCCACCTCGTTCTCCAGCTTGTCGTTGAGGTCGTGGACCGAGGTGGCCTCCCGCTGAGCGGCCAGGTAGCGCTTCTCCAGCGTGGTGATCCTCTCCTCCATGTCCTCCTTCTGAGCCATGGACTGAACACACACACACACACACACACACACACACACACACACACGTCAGGTTACCTTGTTCTGCACAAGACATTCACCATATTACTAAATGAATAGCAGCTGTATTGCTCTCAACAGTAATCATCTAATATTACAAGCAATAATTGAATAACTAAAGAGCTCATTTGGATGAAAGGTGAGCAGTTTTAATTGTATAATGCAAGTACATTCCCCTGATTATACAGTTACTATATATAAAAGATTTTGAATGCAGAACCACCTCTTTCTCGCAGTATTTTACTTATAGGTAAGAGGTGTTAATACTTCTTCCAACACTGGCTCTTCACTTCACAGAGCTTCACTACTCAAATCTTCATCCATTGTGTGGTGATTAAGAGGGCAGAGAGCCCAATACACTAGAAGGTGCACTTAAAAGCCTTTCATTTTCTCAAAAAACGTCTTATAATCCGGAGCGCCTTGTATGTGGATCAATTGGTTGATCCACACTGGTTGTACACGGCTGTCAAAATGTTTCAGTATGAAAAACCAATAATAATAAATGTGTTTCGGTACGACTGGTAAACTACAGAGCCGCACCGCTTGCAGCATCACGGCTGCCAGTCAGTAACCACCGATTCTGTGCTCACTCTCAGTTAGGGTGAGTAGACGTCCTCTTTCCCCCGGACATGTCCTCTTTTTGAGACCTAAAAAATGCGTCCGGCAGGGATTCCAAAGACGTCCGGGATTCTGCTTCGTCGGATATTTGTGTTGCTCTCTTTCACAAACTAGTTATTCCGCCCTTAAGTGTTGTGAATGGCGTCTCCATTACGTTCCACCTTCTTGTAGAGAGAACAGTCATTGGTCGACCGATCTCAATGTTGCCAGATACACAATAAATATCCTCCAAACACGAGCATTTTGAGCCTTTGGTACGATAGGTGCTCAGTGTTGTTGGAAATGGTGAACATTTCCAATCTGGCAACATTGAGACCGGACGCATTTTTTAGGTCTCAAAAAGAGGACATGTCCGGGGAAAAGAGGACGTCTGGTCACCCTAGCATAACGCAAACCCGGGTAAAACGTTTGACTGCAGTATTTTATGCGTCTTATAATCCGGTGCGCCCCATGTATGAAAAATGTTCTAAAATAGGTCATTCATTGAAAGTGCGCCTTTTGATCCCGTGCGCCGTATAGTGGGGAAAATACGGTACATACATTTATTTATACATATATTCACTGTCTACAGGATCAGAGCTGAACCTTCAGTCAAATAATCTCCATAATTGTGGATTCATTTTGCAAACTGTATTTGCCAAGTTGGAAAGAAAAGGCAGAATCTGTATTTTAAGACCAAGCCAGTTTTTCAACGATGTTTGGCAACGTTATGTTTTTTTGGGGCGTTTCTTGTAAACCAAAGAGGGTCGGACACTTTGGCTGCATCCATCGATGATGCTGAATCGTCCATTGATTGATTATTGGAACTGAACACATGTTTGCTACAAATTTCGAATAAAATTGCATGTGTGTAAACACACGATTTAAGAGTTCAAATATATCAGAATATTTACATACATCAGAACATTGTCGCCCGTAAACACAAAGAAACAAATCCATTCAAAGGACTATTTTAAGAAGGTACCTCTCTGAGGTCTCTCTGCAGCCGTGTGTTCATGTCTTCGGACTTGATGAGGTCCTTCCGGGCCGTGTCCAGGTCCTCCTCCAGCTCGTTGATGCGTGACACCATGGAGGCCATGCGCTCCTTCATCTGGCCCAGATCGGCCGTCTGCCGCTCCACCACGTCCTGCAGCTCGCTGACCTTTCCGAAGCCGAGACCCAGCTCCTCCTCCTGACTCAGGGAGCCGTCCGAGCACCGCTGGGGGAGAGAACGGAACCCACGTGGGACTTTAGATAGCAGAGCGAGTACACTCTCATTTGCCTCTGACATCTAGGAGATAAACTTCACAGTCAGTAACTGAAACAACTCAAACTTTTTTGAACAATTTAACTTGTCGCCCCCTGTGGACTAAAGTGTCTCTGAGAACCAGGGTCGCTTAAGAAAACCTCTCCTTGCACAGCAGGGTCTGTCAGTATGCCCCTCAGTCGTGGTCCTGCATCACCCGGGCCCCCTTTCCCTCCAGAATCCACAACCATAAAGAAACTAACCACCTTCTCGCTGATGGTCTCGTTTACTGAGGTCTAGAGGATCAGGACTACACTGAGACTGGTTCACATAGAGCAGGGGTCTTTTCAGGCCAAGGTCCCCCAAACTGATGGCGAGATGGAGCAGGGACCCCCTATTCTATTAATAATGGATCAACCAAAAATGTTGCGACCCCCCTGCTCCACGGACGTGTTGAAGACCTCTGACATAGAGGATCAGGACTAACCTGAGACTGGTTCACATGCAGGATCAGGCTTGTCTCTCTAGCATCTAATAGGGTTACAGTCCCCTCACCTTGCCGTTGGTGCTCGGCGTGTTTTCAGAGTTGTGGTTGACCTCACTGGTTCCGTCTGCCAGGCCTCTCTTCAGGCCGCTCTGCTCTCTGAGGTACGTCAGCTGGAGGAAACACCATGGATTAAAGGCCTCCCTGAGTCCCTCGTGTACCACTTCACCAGGAGCACCAGGAGGAGGAGGTTGTCTTTTGTTGTGTGTGTGTGTTGATTACTGCAGCGCGGAGCAGAGAGGAGATCTAGGACCCTTCCAAGGATCCTCATCTGTCACTCTTAATCCCATTCAATACACAGTGGACGTCTTTGCACGCGTGTGTGTGCATGTGTCCCTCCTCAGATGTAGGGAGGTGTTGAGATGTCTTTGAGCAGAGTGACTAAAGAACCAGGAGTTTCTTCTCTAGTCGAACAAACACTAGAAAAGTAACGTCTGACTTCCGTTTGGTGAATTGGAAAGTTTCAGTTAAACATAAATCAATAATACAAAGACGAGGTCATGCTAAAGGGTTTGACTCTGTACCTCAGGCTCTCCTATGGATATGTGGACCTTGACCTGGAGAGGTCGTGCTCTTTCAGTCATTTGTCTTACTTCTTTGTGCGACATGGTGAGCTGCTCCTCCAGCGCGCTGCATCTTTCCAAGGCCACGCGCAGTCGCTCCCTCACCTGCAGAACCAACGCTCATTAGGTCTCCTGCTCCTCCGGGTCGGTGCTCAAACATACACAGCACACGCTCGTACCTTCTCGTCCAGCGCTTTGTGGTGTTCAAAGAGCGACTTCAGGGCCTTGAGGACCTCTACTTCACTGGAGACGCCGGCGGGGGACTGAGCCTGTCTCTTCACCACCGTCATCCTCAGGCTGCGCTCGTGGCGAGACACCAGGCACTCCAGGTGCTCCAGCAGCAGCTGAGCACACGGGAGGAGGCGTCAGCGAGCACGGGTTTGGATTATGGGTTGTGTGTGTGTGTGTGTGTGTGTTATGACAACCAGCTCGTCCGCTGGAGGTGGAGCCACTAACCCGCGTGTTGTTCCTCTCCGCCTTCAGCTCCGCGATCTCCTCCTCCTTCTCCAGAAGCTGCTCCCGACACACGTTCACCTCCTTCGTCAGCGCAGCAAACTCCTGGAACGCAAACGCACAGGAGCACCGAGCTGGTTACTTACCGAGCTCTCGGCTCACAAACAGGTGGAGGCAGGGAGGTTACATTTTGAGTAAAATAACATTTTAAAAAGCGGTTTGCTCGCCGTCTTGCTGAAGGAACGACCAAAAGCACATTTTAAGTCTGCATCGTTTTGTTTATTTCCGTGAAATCACTGCACAATAATGTACACGGCTCCTCCGGATGACGTCACGGACCCAGAGCTGGTGAAACGACGCCAGTAAATGTCCTAAGTGGGAAACATACAGCAAAGAGGAGAAGAGAGAAGTCTTCAGAGTACCTGATAACAACACGGAGTAGGACACAAGCTGTGTGGACAGGTCTGTCTTGAACGCACACGCTTTTAGAGATGACATGCATGGTTGAACCCACAGAATGTGCCATCCGGATTTTCTGCCCTGCAAAAACTAGAACAGGCAAGTGAGTGGCGAGGCCTCCTTGCTGCGTCTCTGTGTGTGTGTGTGTGTGTGTGTGTGTGTGTGTGAGACGGATCGTTCTTTTCACTCACTACCACAAACCCTTCTCTCGCCTCAGAGCATTTCCAGCGACTGGCACAGATTCCGCTTCACAAAGAAGGAGTAAGTGGGACTTAGCCGTTGGCTAAGACCTCTGCCTCCACTCTGCTCTTAGCCAATGGGAGGCCGCGGGAGGCGGGCCCAAGAGGTAATTACAGAGCGCATTGCTTCCTACATTCCACTGCAGACGCAGAGGTTGAGTTGTACAGAAACGGGAGGATTTCTCTGAGCCTCTGAAGTGCAGCACTGGGGGCTTCGCGGGGGGGGGGGGGGGGGGGGGGGGGGGGGAGGTTTGTGTGTGGGCTGAGCTGCTCTGTTAAGCCCCCAACCAGGAGAGGAGGAGGGGGGGGGCACACAAATATCTGTGCCAACCTATTAAAGGAACAGCACACCAAAACACGGAGGACACACGGAGGCTTTCCAGGGATGAACAATATTTGACTGCGTGTCCCGGGAAAGAGTTGTTTCTGTGTTGTAGAAAGAGTTATTTGAAGTGGAAGGCGTCCCAGGATGCGTTCTCTTTGGACCTGTGGGACACATGTAGTCACGGTTATTTAGCAGCGATGAGTCTCGAGCAGCGAGGAGCACAGCTCAGCCCAGAAGGAAGCACACTATTAATGGATCAACTGCTTGGATGAGCGGATCAATCGAGCCTCGCAACGCCCAGAAAACACAAAGCGAACTTTGACTAGATGGTGTTAATATGAATACGACTGTATGGTCGCGTTCGGAGAAGTCGCTCATGGTCTAACAACAAACCTCAAAGCGGGTTCTGAAGGCTCTCTGGGCCTTTTAGGACTGGACTCTGACATTCTGATGAGTCAGCCCCTTTTCTCCTGGTCAGACATAATGCCCTCAGCCGCTCTCACTGGCTTACGGCGCGTGCTGAAATGTGACACCGTGCAGAGGGCATGTGTTCTCCTGGATGCACAGACTAATTAGTCGCCACAATGGCCGCCATTCACTGCGAGCCGGACACACGGGGAGCCACTGAGGGGGCGGAGTCAAGGTTCAGGATCCGACCCAACCGAGCCACCTTCTCCGCTGACAGCTGACTGACTGCGCCGCACAAGCCCCTTGAAACTACCTCAGCTCATTACTTACAATGACACCTTTACAGAAAAACAACTAACTGTTGAATTATTTTTCTTAGTAGATCCAGGCTACCATTATAACAGGGCGCCCCCCCCCCCCTGAAATTGCAGGCCTATGGAAAACACTGTTGATGGGACACAGGGAGCATCGCTACAGTCAGAACTTGACCATCAGACTCCAGGTGAAGGTGCAGCTTAGTGAAGTTCTTAATAAACTCGTGGTTCTGTTCAATCTGGATCCGCTTCCACGTCTGAACAGGTCGTCCCGAGGACCTACCCGAGTAAGAGAGTCGTCAGCACGGGTTCCTCCTGACAGGTGAGGGCTTTCCTTGTGAAACAGGATCAATGGCCGGTGACACTGGAAAGTCCCGTGGACCCCGTTTGTTTATGGTAATGTGAAGAAAGGGCAGGAGAGAGACAGCTCATGAGCATCGCTGGGGTCTTCTTCTCCTTTTCTGATCCTAATGGAGAACCAGACTGATCTTTACCACCAAATATAGAGTAGGCAACGACTAACAGTGCAGCATCTGAATTCTTACAGCGTATTCACGTGAGGGACAAGCCCTTTGTTGGACAGAGCCAGTTACATACCTAAGAGCCTGCTTCCACATGAGGGAGCGTTTCTTCTCAGCAATAACCAGCAGATTTAGACAACACACCTCTAACTGCTACGATGAACCATCGTATAAGGACAATTAACCACGACGAGCTCAGAATCCACTGATCATCGGGTCTTTGGAGCAGAGACGGACAGACCAAGACGACGCTAGGCTTTGATTTCAAGAGGTGGGACTTTGCGACACCACCGTTGGTAATCGTCCTCAACCCGACTACGTCCATCTCAAGGGGTCAAAGACACTCCTGCTCAGCCGGTTCCTTTTGCTCACTCACACTGAACAGTAAACATCAAGACCAAAGCGAAGAGGAGGAGGTTCGCTCCACGATCACCGGTTGAAACACATGAAGGAGCAGCGGTTCGGTCCTCCGTAGAACATGTACGGTACAACACAGAGGGAAAACCAGCAAGCAGCGCTCGGTGCGGTTTGAAGAAGCCGTTGACGTGTGAGCGAGCTGCCCAGGAATGTCTGTGCATTCCAGGGGGACGTGTACGGGGGGGGGGGGTTCCATATCTCAGGGCATCCGTCAGGCTCGGTTTCTAAAGGATGCGAGGGATTAAAAGATCGCAGCGTGTCCATCCACGCCACAAATTCTAGGGCATCAAGGGTATGGATAACCAAGCTAAGCTAAAGCGCTACAACCCAAAGACAGTCAATGCTTCCCAAAAGCTTTGGGCAACAATCACCTGAAATCACGCCTGCCCAGAAACGGATTCAGGCGGGTGTGAATCCCATAACACAGAACAACAAAAAGGAATCACTTTAGGCGTTTGGTAAAGAACATTTCACCCCCGAAACATCAGGGCAATAGCGAGAAAACAAACAAACACCTAGAATTAGTATATTTAGCTTTCAACGCTGGCTTAGTAAATGACTTCACTGACCCGAGTTCAGCTCCACTGACATGTCTGTAGCTTTTCTAGAAAAAACTATTTAAAAAATGATCTGGATCGCTTGTCTAAACATCAATTGGTCTTTTCACGTTTTTAGCTTAGATCTCTGAAATCAGGTCCGTGTTTAAAACAAGCAGAAGAGATTACAGCGTTTGTTTAGTCCTCCGTTAGCGTAGTGGTGGAGACGTGAGGTCATGTGACCATGCTGTGGCTCCTTTATAGGTTCCATAAGATTAGGCCATCAAACACTTATAATAACCAGCGTGCCAACTTTATACGCATGCATACGCAACGCTCGCTCGACTACCGGCCCTTTTATGCATCATTAAAAGCGGGAAACCTTATCCTTTTGTTTTAAATAGAAGGCCACAGAGGGAGGACACATGAGTCGTGCAGATAGATGGCCGGGTTATGCAGATAGTAGACATAGCAGCAGCGCTATGACAATCTCATTACAGTAAGGGGCTTATTGCTAATTCATTACTTAGACCGTGTGGCATGAGGCTGTTTTGTGTTTTATGCATTTTAAGCTCCATTAGAAAGAGAAACTGTTTTCGCTTCTCAATATTTTCTTTTATCAGAAGTGGCATTCTTGCAGATTATTTTATCTTCTTGACTGATGTGCACCTTGCAGTCGATCGAGCACGTAACTCCACAAAGCCTCTGAAAACCATGAGGCAGACGCCCGCGCCGCTGCAGACTCGTTGTGTAGCATCAACTCACATGAAAGGGGTTGCTACTTAGGACGGTTCACCTCACTGTAGATGATCCATAACCACATGTGTCGAGCGCATCGGCCCGTCCCGCTCACCTGTGGTAACGCAGTGTTTAGTTGTCGCTGCAGCGAGTCCCTTTCATGGCTGACTTCGTGCAGTTTGCCTTGAGTCAAGCCCAGATTCTCCTGCGTCTCTCTCAGAGTCTCCAGCAGACGATCCCGCTCCTCCAGCATGGACACCATCAGCGACTCAAAGTGACCCTCGGAGTCCGACTGCAGCGGGGAGCCGGAGCCCCGACGGCCGCCTCCCCCCTCGGCCTCGCTGATGGTGGGCATCACCTCGCACATCATCTGCAACCCACGGGTCCCAGGGCCAAAAGGAGACAGCAGAAGGAAGAGTTTGGTGTTAGGAGGAGGAAGGCGACAATTATGAGGGCAAGTAGAGATACGGCAAAGTACAGAGCAGTCAGCACAAACAAGGGGTGAACGGAAACATTCAGGGACATTACTGGAAGCCCTTTATGGGTTATACAGCTTCACACACATCTCATTTCAAAATACCTCCTGCCACCGAATTCTCCTAATTTAGACTGAATATTCCATTACCATGCAAGTTTATTGGGCTTGAAAAAAAAAAACTAATTTCTCTCAAGAGTCCAGGTTGTACAAGCAGTAAATTATGAAAAATGAATAGTCCTGTGGGATCAAATAGTCATGGTTCAAATATTCAGGCAAATGGCCCTGTTATAGTAGTTGGGGAAACACTTTATTAGCAGAGAGACCAGCAGAGCAGCGTTGTCTGGATGCTGCATTAAACAGCTGGGCAGGAAGGTCTGCAGAATTAGAGCCACTCGCCACACAGAGGGGCTTAGGTTCTGTAGACAGACTGCTAGACAGAAAGGCAGAGAAATCATGTGAGCTGGATTTAACATACCTACAGGGAACAATAACATGGAGTAGGAACTAGGTGGCAGCCAGCATTAACCCCTTCACTTTGTTCTCTGTATCGCCCAACAGGCCAAAAGACAGTTACTTTCAGAAAGCTTCTGTATCAGGTTCAGTGCACGGGACACACAGCTGTAACTGGACCACACCTGCATGCATACTAAATCAACCAGACAAGAGAAACAGGCTCTGATCCTTCCTGGACTCCAACTACATTCTGCCCATGTTAAAAGGATAAACACTATTTCTGGTGGACATAAGAAAAGAAATCAGAACAATACAAAACTAACGCTGCAAATCGAGGTCAAGCCAGCGGGCTCAGGCATGTTTATGAGGGGGAGGGTCACTCCCCCCATGGGAGGGGGGGGGGAGGGGGGTTTGCTGCAACGTAGAAGACATCAAACGGGCCAAAAAGAAAGTACAGATGAGACATCGTGCATGTGTACAGACTGTAAAGCCCTGAGGCACATTTGTGGGATATGCAAAATAAAATGAATTGAAACCAACCTCTGGAGGAGAAACGCTTGAATGCGCCTGACACTTTTAAATGTATTTAGTATATTTCTTAACATGACACAAAAACAGAAATTGTAACTCAACTAAGATTCATGTGACGTCATTATTGCCTTTTTACTAGTTTTGACCAATTTAGATATGGAGCGAAAACGCACGTTCATGTACTATTAAATCAGTGTGACATATTTTACATATACATACATACAAACATATTTTAAAAGTTATAACAGCTCTAAAGTTGTTTAATGCTCACGTGCGTCTGCACCTCACCTTTGACGGATGTTGTTATTCCACTTGTAATCCGCGTTATTTTATGACGTCAACACAACCCGGGAGCTCCAACAGTGTGTCGTCCAATTTGACAAATAGCCAGAGTTACTCAGAATATATATTCCATTCGGATGCTTGGATACGTTAAGGCTGTAAAGGAAATTGTCTTCTCTGTTGAAAAAAAGAGTGGTATAGTTTCCTAAAGGCCTCAAAACAGAGAGGCAGTATTCCAAGTTTGGCCAGCTAACTCAACGTTAGCATGCTAGCATTAAGTAAACTGTTGTATCGATATTTGCATATTTAGATATGGAAAAAAAAGTTTATCACAACAAACGTCCATCTTCAGCCGTAACCGTTGAACACACGCACAACAACATTACACAACAGACAGCGGCGATAGAGGTGACGTGGAGAAGTAGCATTGCTAGCGTTAGCTAATTCGAAGCAGAGATCTTTGGCTTTAAATCTCGTTTAACTCGTAGGCTAGCCGTCGTTAGCTGCTAGCCAGCTAGGTGGCTAACACCCGCTGGTTTCCTACGTTCCTAACTTAACGTTAGAGAAGATAACGCCAGATTCGCTCTATTCCATATAAAATGTAGACGACATACATCTGTTTAAAATCACACTACCTAAAACAACACTAAAAACAAGTTATTAAACGTCATATATGCCTTTGCTGAAATGATCAACGTTAATCTTTCAAGTAACGTTAGCACGTCGGCTAGCGGTAGCTCCTCGGCTAGCGTTAGCTTCCCGAGTCGTGTCAATACATCTCATCCGCTCCACTCGTAAAAACTTCCAGCTAACGCTGGAACGCTGGCAACGGTTTCTTTCCCTCCTCTCCAAGAAAAGAAAAAATAACAACACGCTGAACGTTATATTCCCGCCTGAGTTTCTCCAGTGTTCTGTCGGTTGTTTTCTCCAGTTTACAAAAAAAGGGTCCCTTCAGGTCCGGTTCTTTTCCCCCCGTCGCCCCTGCCGGACAGCCTCGGTCTTTGGGACAGCCGATGGTGGGCTACGTGCTGCTAGCTCCTCTCGTTAGCCTGGTAGTCCGTCGAGGGGGCGGGGCTTCCCAGGTCGGCAACAGGCGGAAATGGCAACAGCACGACGATATAATAAAGCAAAACCGATGCAATTACATAGAAATATGTTTTTATGTTGAGTGTCATGAATGTCTAAGTCAAACGGAATAATTTGTTATGATGACGTATTTTGTTTGTCACATACATGATATACAGTTCAACCTATTCCATGATGTCAGTTAGATTTTTTGTATGTTTAATGTTTTATTTTGAGATCTTATTATATAAAAGTACATTTAACTTATAATGTTTTGTTAACTTTCTTATTTTTTAAATTACAGTAGATTTTATATATTTAATTTCGTTTATTTATCATATTACAGTACATTTGACATTTTTATTGTTATCATACTAATGCCATTTTTATTTACTTTTGTTCACACTACAATGAATTTCCTCCCACAAAAATATAATTTTTACTGTCACTTTAATGTCAACCCCTATAAATCTACAATTGGCCTGAAAAACCATATGTGAGGGTTTTCAGAATTTATTGCAAACGATATTTGTAGTTGTTTTATAGTATATCAAATATAGTATATATAGTAATATATAGTATATTTGAAACACTTCACAGAGTTGCCTAAGTTCAGATAAAACAATCGTAGACTCACAATAAAGATAATTATTGCACCACCTTGTGGCAAGTCAGCCGAAACTCAATAAGGGTGGGATAACATTTTAGTCAGAACTTAATTATTTTTCTTTTTAAAACTTTTGTCCCAGACCTGGACTTGTAAAGTCCCAAAGCTTTAGCTGTGATTAAAGGGTAATTGAATGTAATCTCCACAGATGTCAGGATGATGAAAAGGGCTTTATGATGAATTAAGTGAGATCACTGAAGTTGTACCTTTATATCACCTGAAGGAAATGCAGGAATAAATCATTCCTATCATCATCATCATTTGTTGACAATGTGGAGATGACTTTAAAACAGGTGAACCTTATGAGGACAGCAGAAGCCTGTACTACTAAAAACACACCTCTACCTGGACCAGGTTGCCCTTTATTAGCACTTTGTAGTTTGCCTGTCTTGATTCTTGTGGTTCTGGTATGTTCCCTCTGTGCTCACCTGTGTGTACGCACGTGTCTGCCTGCGTCCAGCGTGCAGCGAAAAACTCCCAGACTTTAACAACACTGACTTAAATATGAAAAGAAGGTAGATGGCTGGCGAGCTAGCTGCTGGGCGAAGTTTTTCAATCGGCTCAGGCACCGAAAGGAAGAACCGAAATGACGGTACTTACCGGTTGTATAGGATCTGGTACCAATCCTCGGTACAGTTTTTTTCAATTGCTAACAAGCGTTGTTTAACACTGAAACCACACGGTTTAAAAACTTCACACAGTCTCCATTACCAAGATTATTTTTGGTCAAACCTCCAAAACTCACTCAGACCAACAAAACCCTTCATACGTGTGACAAAATGAGCTCGTTCCACCAATCACTGGCAACAGATTCTCATTCAGAAAACATGCATGTGACTTATAACACTTGACTTACACAGCATTACATTACTGTAATTATGACATTTTATTGAAAGTTTGAATGAATTTTCACATACATGCAGTAATTCATTATAGAATAACAGATTTATAATTTATTTAACGTACTAAAACATCTACACCTCTCCCTCCTCTCTGAGGCAACATTTGGATCCTAAAACACAACAATTACTGTACTGTAAGAGGTTTGGTCATCGTTCTGATGTCAACGTCCTTTTCTGAGTTTTGAAAGCAGTGTTTTAGCATATAAAAAATATCCTGCAAATATACAGTTTTTTGAAGTTTGTGGAGTATGAACGACAAAGTTGTTTGTGGATGTTGATGTGTGGCAATTAATGCATCTTGTCCGAAAGCAATGAAGAATTATTCAGTCGGGTCTGTATACATTTGTTTGTTGCTGAATCTGTTAAGAGTTTTGAAAATGTGGGTTGAGTATTAAACAATGCTTGTTAGCAATTGAAAAAAACTGTAACACTCAACAATAAAATACCCTAACCTATAATGAAAGATGGACCATTTAAAAAAAAGAGAATTAAATCGTATTTCGATGGGAGATTAGTTGTTAAAGTGATTTTGCCGCCCCAACTTTTGAAATGTGATGTTTTTTCAGCTCTTCTCTGTATTTAAACAAAGTTAAGGGAACATCTCAGCATTTCTGACTGCTGATCAGAAACAACGTTTGAAGGTTTCATGTTGACTTTAATCAGTGAGCTGCAGAGTTCATGTACATCTTTTGATATATTTTTGTAATGTGCAATAAGGAATCAAAATAAGCGTTTGTATGTAATTGAGAAAAAGTAATAAAAGTCGACAAAAGCACCCAAATATGCAGGAGAAAAGGCATTTTTATTGATCCATCAAGTGTTTCATAAATGACACGTTCTAGTATTAAAAGAGCTTTTGACATGTAATGATAACCTTTGACATGACAATGACTGGATAGGGTGGCACCTATTGATTAAGACATGCTGGCACACACAATAATAGAAGCATTTGTGAAGCCACATGGGATTACTGGGGACTACTGAATGGGTCAAACAGGAAAAGACTCAAAGAATGAGTCGTACAGAATTTGGAATTGACTTAACTTTCAAACGTGGACAAAGGTTGGTATCTGACCCTTGACCCTCTGGCCTTGTACAAGGCCACTGCACTGATCATGCCAACGGCTGCAAGGAGACATCCGGCGATGAAGACCAGGTTCAGATTCAGCTGGAGCGCTGGAGGAAAGAAGCACAGTTCTTGATTACATCTGGTCCAAAGTGGGGCAGGAACAAATGAAAAAACGCTCTCTCTGTTTTCCCACCTGGGCTTTTGTTGTCCTCCGCTGATCTCCCCAGGCGCAAGGGACCCTGGGAAACAAAGTGCCTTTGACCTTGAGCGATGAGCTCCCTCTTCCTCTGGTGGTGAGCAGCAGGCCAACCGCTCTGCATTGTGGAGTTGACGCATCCCTGAGAGCACCTGGTGTTGGGGCTTCCTGCTTCACACATCAGGACCGTGCAGCTGATGTACACCTGAATGCATCGGGACACGCCGTCATGACATCAGCAGACAGTAAAACAGCCTCCTCGTCTCCACTGTGCCTCTACGTGACAGACGGTGGCGTTCCACCTCGAGTCCCTCCAAACATCGTATATCTTTCTCTTCATCATTAGACCTCAAGTGTGCAATGTCAGCTTGTGACAACCAATCAAATTCATTGTTAACACTTTGAAAATTTGAATTTTCTGTGAAGGTGAGCAGGGAAACATGTAAAATCTTTCAAAACATAGATTTGTTTGTGACACCCTGAGGCTTCAGTAGAAAACAAGTCAATGCAGATGAAACATTGTGTATGCAGTAGAGTTAGTGTAGACATTATTTTTCTCAGGTGACACCTGTCCAACAAGTGTGCATGGGTCATCACTAAGGACATTTTGAATTAGTTGAAGCATTTAGAGATTCAGAGCAGGGCACCGCTGCGTGGCCATGCTGACGCCTGCTGCTGCCATCATCATCATCATCATCATCATCATCATTATTTTAGATATTAATCATATTACTGTACTCATAAACCAACATTACCCTCTCCTAAAGTCTCTGTGCTCTCCCTCCCCACAGGCTTCTGTGGATGGTGGTTCTATCTGATGGTGGTTCTATCTGATAGTGGTTCTATGTGATGGTGGTTCTATCTGATGGTGGTGGTCCCTGCAGTGGTCCTGCTGTGCGCCTGGCTTACTACTCACAATTACTTGAATCATTTCTGTCATATAGTTGCATGTATTATACATTGTTCATTCTGTACACATGGCATCCATTGTAGTCTGTCCATCAGGAGACGGATCCTCCTCTGACGTTCTCCCTGAGGTTTCTTCCCTTTTTTCCCTCTTGTAAGGGTTTTTTCATTTTTTGGGGAGTTGTTCCTGTGCCGATGGAGGGTTTCGGGGCAGAGGATGTTGTGTATGTACAGACTGTAAAGCCCTCTGAGGCAAATTTGTAATTTGCGATTATGGGCTATACAAAATAAAATGAATTGAATTGAATTGCGTCCTGTACCTGATCGTGAGAGCCGATGAACTTGAAGGCCTCCATGCTGAACTGGAATTGTCTCTGGTGGGAGGTGGAGTGGATTTCAACAGTCTGATCCACGTTACACCTGGTCAGAGCAGGACACAAGAAAAGACGCAGAACCTTTGTCAGTCGGCGCCTTTCAGCAGCCGTAGAGACAGAAGTGTGTCCTGTTTTAGGCATTCACATGATGAGGAAAAGAAGATAATGCAAAAGAATAAGTAAAGTCGACATTGACTTTATTTGATGATTTAATTTATTAGTCATTTGTTGTTGTTTAAGTATACCTCTACGCACAACCTCCTGGATAGGGGATGGACTCTATTCTACTCCGGAGTGGCCCATGGTGTGAGGCGCCAGGCGGGTGTGGGGATACTCATAAGTCCCCGGCTGAGTGCTGCTACATTGGAGTTTACCCCGGTGGACAAAAGGGTCGCCTCCCTACGCCTTCGGGTGGTGGGGGGGAAAACTCTGACTGTTGTCTGTGCATATGCACCAAACACCAGCTCAGACTATTCAGCCTTTTGTAGACCCTGAATGGAGTCCGGCATGGGGCTCCAGTAGGGGACTCCCTAGTCCTACTGGGAGACTTCAATACGCACGTGGGCGACGATGAAGATAACTGGAGAGGCGTGATTGGGAGGAATAGTCTCCCTGATCTGAACCCGAGCGGGTGTTTGTTACTGGACTTCTGTGCCAGTCACGGATTGTCCATAACAAACACCATGTTCGAACATAAGGATGTTCTTAAGTGTACGTGGTACCAGAGCACCCTAGGCCAAAGATCAATGATCGATTTTGTAATCGTATCGTCTGATCTGAGGCCGCATGTTCTGGACTTTCGGGTAAAGAGAGGGGCAAAGTGCTTCTGGAAGACCATTCGGCACCTGAGGAGGGGGAAACGGGGAACCATCCAAGCTGTGTACAGTAAGGATGGGACCCTGTTGAGCACGACTGAGGAGGTTATCGGGCAGTCGAAGGAACACTTTGAGGAACTCCTGAATCCAAATACTACACCCTCTTTGGTAGAGGCGGAGCTGGAGGCGGAGGAGGGATCATCGTCAATTGGCCTGATGGAGGTCACTGAGAGTCGGGGGGAGGAGGGTCTACAATTCGGGGAGCTGCGGATCTCATCGTTGCTTTTTGCAGATGATGTGGTCCTGATGTGGTCTCGCTCCAGTGAGAGTTGGAGGTCACAGACGGAAGGTCTGTGACCTCCAACTCTCACTGGAGCGTTTCGCAGTCGAGTGTGAAGCGGTCGGGATGAGGATTAGCACCTCTAAATCTGAGGCCATGGTTCTCAGCAGGAAACCGATGGATTGCCTACTCCTGGTAGGGAATGTGTCCTTACCCCAAGTGAAGGAGTTCAAGTACCTCGGGGTCTTGTTCACGAGTGAGGGGAAGATGGAGTGTGAGTTTGGCCGGAGAATCGGAGCAGCGGGGCCGGTATTGCACTTGCTTTACCGCACCGTTGTGACGAAAAGAGAGCTGAGCCGGAAGGCAAAGCTCTCGATCTACCGGTCAATCTTCGTTCCTACCCTCACCTATGGTCATGAAGGATGGGTCATGACCCAAAGAACTAGGTCACGGGTACAAGCGGCCGAAATGGGTTTCCTCAGGAGAGTGGCTGGCGTCTCCCTTAGGGATAGGGTGAGAAGCTCAGCCATTCGCGAGGAGCTCGGAGTAGAGCCGCTGCTCCTTTGCGTCAAAGGAGCCAGTTGAGGTGGTTTGGGCATCTGGTGAGGATGCCCCCTGTGCGCCTCCCTAGGGAGGTGTTTCAGGCACGGCCAGCTGGGAAGAGGCCCCGGGGAAGACCCAGGACTAGGTGGAGAGATTATATCTCTGCACTGGCCTGTGAACGCCTTGGGATCCCCCAGTCAGAGCTGGTACATGTGGCCCGGGAAAGGGAAGTTTGGGGTCCCCTGCTGGAGCTGTTGCCCCCTGACCCAACCCCGGATAAGCGGTTGAAAATGGATGGATGGTTTTGGGTGGGCAGGTACAGGACCAGCATGCACAGGGTTGGGCTTAAGGTTTTATTCAGCACAGGGGAGACAGTGATGGGACTTTCTTTGATCTTTTGTTTGTTTGTGTCTTTGTTTTGAGGGCTATTAAATGATGAGGAACAGAAATACCTACATGGATAATCTTCTCTCTTGCCCTGCTGAACCACAAACCTACAGCGCCTACATCAGGGGCAATTTCTCCACTACGGTGAAATCTAGGGTTACCACCCGTCCCTTAAAATACAGAATTGTCCCGTATTTTCTGAGCTGTCGTCAATGCAGCATCCTATTCGGCCCCTGATTGGGTAATCCTCATATAGAGCCTCTAAAGCAAGAGGAGACAATCCTCCACACCAGGGGTGCCAACACATTTTTGGCTCACAAGCTACTTGATCGACCTATTGGGCAGCCCCGATCTCCACAGTGAAGCACAACATAGAGAGACATTTCAATTCCATCTATGAAGCCACTCTCACATGACAGAAAACAATCAGTACTGAGTACTCGTGCCCACCCGTTCTCGATGATGGAGTAGGTTTGCTGGTAGTTCTGGTTGTCATATGGCGTAACCCTGCAGGACTCCACGAACAGCACGGTGTTATTGATGGAGGAGGTGGCCTCAATCTGCATGAAGATCCTGCTCCCCAGAACATACACCAGCGGGTATGTGCTGGGATCGATGGCGGTGAGGTATTGGTCATTGGGATAGAACTCAAACTGGTAGGTGAACGTGCCAAAGCCCTTGTCCCAAACTTCGACCTTGGGCCTGTGTGCCATGAAGACCTGCATCACATTCCCACGTTTGGGGTACTGGCAGTAGAAGTCCACCTCCAGCAGGTGCTTCCTGGTGATCACGTCGGCCACATTGTCAAACGTGGTGATTGCATTCTTGAACCTGAGGTTAATGTCGTCTTCCTGCAGAGTGAAAAAGGTAAGTGTCAGTTATCAGAAGATAAAAGGCAACAGCAACAACTGGGAGAAGAGCGCAGCTCGCGTCACCTCGATGTCGGTCCCACAATCGTTGAGGGGGATGACGGCAAAGATGTGGGTGGTGTTGGACTTCAGGCGGCAGGCGGTGTTGGTGGCGTCGTTCAGCCTCAGATGGTCCGCATGGTGTCCGGGGAGAGAAGCTTTCTCAAGCTCTATTGTCATTGTGGTCTCGGTGCAGATCACATTGCTTTTAACTAGAGAACGAGATAGTTAAAAATACACATCGTACCTGTGGTTTTCCTCTTGTTCACTAATTCAGTCATGTTCCAGCAAACACAAGGACGAAGAAGACTTTTCATCTAAAATACTTAAAAAACATTCCGAAATACATTTAATAAGGAAGTAAAGGAACCCAAGTCCACAACAGATATAATTAGTTTAAATACCGTCAAGTTGTGTTCCCATCAAAAACAAAATGAACTTTGTGTTTAGTTCAGCAGCCCTGGTTTCAGTGTAAATGAACAGTGAACTGTGGTATTTTTGTGTAGAGTAAGAATTTAGCATACAGTGATACTTCTTAATATAGTTGGGTCAGTTAAGTACACCATTACAGCTGCAGCTCAACCACAAGATGTTGACATTAAAGTAGACTCACCGTGCTTCGCCTTGACCTCCACCACAACACACCTCATCTCAGTCTGATAGACGTCCGCCCTGAGGAGCATCGGTGAAGATTTACTTATGCGTGCATCTCTTCTACAAGGCCATCAGACATCCAGGCGACCTGAAATCGGACTAAGTATCTTTTTCTTTAAACCAAGCTAGTCTGCTAAATTTGTTGTTGATTCTAGTGTCTTAAGTTAATTTGATTGCTGATTTGCTGCCAGTTCTCTCTGTTTGAGGTTATCTTGGTTGCTAGTTTGCTTTAACTCTTTCACTTTTTTAGTGCCAGTTGGTGCTCTAGACTCTACTATTAAGTTAACTGCTAGTGTGCCCTCCTAACTCTGCTATGTTTGACCTGATCTAAGTCTGTTTTGTCTTCTCTTCTGAATCAAATAAGACTTGAATCCTTAAACTCTCAGTTTGTCAAAACGCCACATGGTGATTGTTGATTAGGGTGTCAAGCAATTGGTGTTTTAAATTTTGAGGAGTTTCTGTCGAGGCCAATCGACCTTTTGTCTCCTAAACGACGGGGGAGCGGCCAGCGCAGCCGCAGCCGACTTCCACTAACGAGGGAGTATTTAACTACAGATCGAGTGAAGCGTTAGCTTATCCTCGCAGCACAAAGACGAGCAGGACAACGACTACGGAGTCTTTCATGGGAATCAAGACGAGCAGGACAAAGACTAGGGAGTCTTTCATGGGAATCAAGACGAGCAGGACAAAGACTAGGGAGTCTTTCATGGGAATCAAGACGAGCAGGACAAAGACTAGGGAGTCTTTCGTGGAGTCTTCGGGGCGGCTGAATGCGGCGCCTTCTATTTTTAATAATGTGTCTGACCCCGTACCTGTCAGAACCTCTTCCCGCAGATACTACAGGCCTCGGGCTAGATCTGCTCTCTATCGTAACCTCTCCTCTCTCACCGATCCCACCCGCTCCACACATGTCCAGCACCTCGTCACAGGAGGCCTCTGGAACTGCCAGTCAGCGACTCGCAAGCCTGACTTCATCTCCGGCTTCGCTATCCAGCAGTCACTCGACTTCCTCGCTCTCACCGAGACCTGGATCACACCTGAGAACACATCCACCGCAGCCGCTCTCCCCTCCGCCTTCCCCTTCAGCCACACACCCAGACCACTGGTAGGGGTGGTGGCACAGGTCTACTCATTTCACCCAAATGGAGCTTTTCTCTTTACCCTCTACTCATTACTGCGACAACACGATCCTGTAGATACACGCTCTACAACATCAGGAATTCTCCTGATGTGGTGAATCGCAGGTACTGATTCAGGCTCTTGTCGTCTCCCTCCTGGACTACTGTAACTCTCTCCTGCAGGTCTCCAGCTACCGCAATTCCACCTCTGCAGCTCATCCACAATGCAGCAGCTCCACTGGTCTTTAACCTTCCTAAGTTCTCCCACACTCCTCCACTCCTCCGCTCTCTTCACTGGTACCGGTGGCTCATCCAGTTCTAACCACTGGTGCTCACGTACTGTGCTGTGAATGGATGGGGTCCAGCTTCCATCCAGGACCTGGTCCAACCCGACATCCCGACCCGCACTCTCCGCTCTGCATGTGATGAACTGCTTGTTCCTCCTCACTGAGAGCAAAACACTCGACTAGATCTCCACTCTTTGCTGTCCTGCTCCTAAATGGTGGAAGGAGGTCTGTGAAGACATCAGGACCACAGAGAGCCTTCACATCTTCAGACTAAAGACACACCTCTTCAGAGTATTTCGAATAAAAGAAACAAATTGTAAATTGGCTTATTTCAGGAAATTGCACTTTCTTGTTTCTTGTTCTCCTGAGTTTGTACCCTTTGGTTGAATGCACTTATTGTAAGTCGCTTTGGATAAAAGCGTCCACTAAATGACATGTAATGTTATTTAAGCAGCTCGTCCTAATGTCTTATGTTAAAGTTACTACTGGTCTTTTTGTCTCGTCTTCTCTAATCTCTACTTTGTTAGTTAAAATGTCAGAAGTCAAATCATGGCTCCCCACACACACACAAACTCACCCGGCCACTGATTCAACAGCAAAGCAGATGGAGAAGAAATCCCCCAGGTCGTCTTGGATCGGCGTCCACCTAATGACAAATTCCCCATCTGTGTTCCTTTGCGTGGTGATGTTCACTGGACCACTTATGATTATATCATGTATTCTGTGTGAAAACAACACAGAGGAACCAGAGATGTAGTGACTCTTTCTTGCTCATCGTCTCGAGGCAACAGCAACAGCGATCTCGTTACATCTCAATTACTTTGAATACGCCGCTACTGCTTTCACTCTGATCTCCACTTCTCTGTTGACCTCTGCCTGGATGCGGGCTCCATTTTCAGGTGTTGGCTCCACAAACCTCGGCAGGTAGAATCCCTCGGCACACGAGGGAACAGGTGGGTCCACTGGAGTTGAAAATAGAAGGTTGATTTAAATGACCAAAAGCAATAAGCTGAAAACCGACACTGCTGCTGTCTGTGGATCAAAACGTCAAAGCCGTCCGAGGGCGTTCATTGTTGGGATCAAAATTCACAGGATTTATAAAATGTTAAAAATTTGAAGCAAGTTTCAAGTCAAACATTTCTCAGGGACTTTAAGATTTATAAAATATTGGCTCATTGAAAAACAATGGCACTAAAAATGAACTCACCAAGGAAGGAGAATTGCAAAGGTAGTTTACTGAGTGGAGGAGTGGTGGTATGCATTTGCGTCCCTGTGGTAAGGTAGGGGGGAATGGCTGTTGGTGGTGCTGTGGTTGTGTAATAATGCCACCCTGGGGGCATATTTGTTGGGGCAGAGGCTGGTGGTGCTGTGGGAGTTGGTGGTGCTGTGGTTGTGTAATAATGCCACCCTGGAGACGTTTTTGTTGGGGCAGATGTTGTTGCTGCGTTGCTTGTGTAATAATGCCACCCTGGGGACATTTTTGTTGGGGCAGATGCTGGTGGTGCTGTGGTTGTGTAATAATGCCACCCTGGGGACATTTTTGTTGGGGTTGGTGGTGCTGTGGGAGTTGTTGGTGCGGTGGTTGTGTAATAATGCCACCCTGTTTTTGGTTGTGCGGTGGTTTGATAATTATACAACCAAAGGTATACTGCAGATGTTGGTGGGAAAACCGATCTCCTACGCCTCACAAGCAGTGGGGGCCCTGGAGGATTGGGATCCATCGGAGTAGGTCAGATTGATGGAGCCTACTGGGAAGTCCTCCACCACCAACTCAAATCCATAAACTCTGGAGTCAGCCAGAGACGAGTGGTAATGTAATGTGCAGGTGTCCTGACAATGTGAACAACAAGTTAAGTGAAGCAAAGCATCAGTGAACATTGTACAATGTATTAGGAAATATACTTTTCAACTAACCTGATCTAAGTGAAAGCCTGAAGGTTGGTCACACAGGGAACACTCTCCAGTGTTGATATTTCCATATCTGCATCGAACTTTGTCTCCATCAGGATCGAAGGACGTCAGCTTGTACGTGCGGGGACAGTTCTGGGGAACTCTTGAGTAGACACATTCACATGAGTTAGTAATGTAATGTAAAGTAATGTAATGTAGCACAGTTCAGAACATGTTAGCTACAAGATAACACATCCCAAAATGTGTAACTATACTATAATTCATAATAAAATACACTCAATTTGATTCATTTACTCTTTCCAACAGGAAAATGGTTTAAAAACACTTTCCAGAGATCCATGCAAGCACTCCAGGTAATAAAAGTAAGTGAACTATCTGGCAAGAATCATGAAACCAAAGCCACTCCTTTTCTGCGATTACACCAGTTTCCAAATGATTCGGATGGAAGAGGACTGGCAGACTGTTGGCAGACAAACTGAAGGATACAGAATGCAGACCATGTTTGTCTTTCAACTCCTGAACGTCATTATTTGTGCAGAGACACAGTGTCTTTTTGTTTGACTACAACGACTATGAGGCAGTGAAGCAGGACATTTTACACAGATTCTTTCACAAACAGAAACCTGATGCCACCTGCAGAGGACTTACCGTAGGAAAGGGAGGATGGCAACGGCTGGTGATCTGTTTGGTTCTTTAGTGTCAGATCTGATCCCCAAATCCACCGTAGTCAGTAGATTCCATTGAGCATTATTCCCGGTACGCTTTGGGATCCAACAGCAGCTGGCAGCCCTGATGAATGCATCAATCAGAAAACACATAAAAACTTTCATTTCTTATTATAAGCACAACAAATACATTAAAAACATGTTAGGATTTAAAGTAAAAGAACAACTTACGTGAGTTGAAAAGGTTTGTTGCTCTGGAGGATTGTCCTGCTGACGGTTTCAGTTTCACACCATTGACTGTTGAATAGTGGTGCATTGGTGCTGCTTCCAATCTCACTCCTCACACTTCTTTGGACATTATTGCCGTGTGGGAACAACTCCAGAAGAGAGAGCTAGAGCACCCATCAAAGGTTTCCCTGTAGCGAAGGTCCACCTGGAAGAAGATCATCCAGTTAAAGATGGTTCTCTACTGAAGCTGAGCACATTCTTATCAAGTACATTTCTCTGCATTTTGTACACCAGTTCTTTTACTCTAAATTGATAATTATAATTTGATGCTTAATCAGAAATTTACCCAACAAATTGGAATGTCTTTATGTGAGCAACCCATATTCATTTTTCTTGCATCACGCATTAAAGACTCTTAATTGAATTAAGATGTGGATGTAGAAATTGCAATAACTACAAAAAAAAATCCCAGCTCCCTTCAGGAGCTTTAAAACATAAGAATATAAGAACATCCATTAAGCACCCACAGGGGGGATTTCACTGGTAGATATCACTAAAACTAGAGCAGTAAGTAACAATCAGATACTTTATGTAAATACTTTTGATGTAATCAAACATGCTTTACATAAATGTATAGAATTAATAATGAAAAACGTTTATACTCAGAGTGTTCAATCATAGGGATCATAGGGGTCAAGGGGCAGGTCACATGGGAGACACGCATCATCGGTCCTGCATCACATGAAGTCACATCTCTTACCTTAAATGTTCCATCTGGGTTTTTGCCTTTGTAGTAGTAGGTCGTGGTTCCCCCAAAGAAGTGAGATGCAGACGCCTGAGAGACCAGGAGCAGCTGAAGCAGGAGCACTGAGGTGGAAGCCATGATGCCCTTAACTCACCTGTGTGGAGGTTCTCTGCCACTCACATCCACCTGCAGCATCTTTATATACACAAAGGTCTGCGCCGAGCCGATGACGGTGACCCTTTCAGTTCTGATGGAATGTATGAGATGTGCCGGAATAGGCTGTCGAACTTGTTTGCCACAAAGCCCCTGAAACAGTGCCAAGCTACACAAACATGAAACATGACGAATGGCAGCATGCTGCTCACCGTGCTGGGAATCAAACACATTGTTCTTCTTACCTGTGTGATATTTATCAGTCTCAGTTGCAGTATAAATTGTCCATAGACAGAACATGTTGGGCATCGTACAAATCACTGTGCAGTACATCACTGCACAAATAACCTGCTATCTACTATATTTATATCTTATTTATGCAAAGATGTATTAGTCAGACGAAGCTTGAGATTGAAGTGTTTGACATCAACAGCTTCTCGGTTGAGTGTATGACAATGAAACAACTTGAACATGAGCACCTTCATTGTTGGACCTGTTTAATGTTTGAATGGCAGAGGTTTACAGTCCAGTGGTCATTCTTAGAATTGTATAAAGAGGTTTTGTGTAACAAATAGGTGTGAATTTCGATGGCGATCAAGTTAAATGTACAAGGAAGTACACACACACAAACGTTGAGTCCGATGGGTTATTGGGTGTCTTTTTTGGTGTATTGAAAGCTGGGAGAAAGAGAACCATGTGAATTGTGTGGATGAAAGTAGGGTGAGGCCACTTCTGGTCCAGTTCACCTGAACAGATTATCTGGATCCGTCTGAGATGTGAAGGAAGCGGTGGATAAACTAGGACCCTGTTGCCTCTTTGCCCGTCTAAGGGACAAACAGAGGTTCTTGAGAAGTACAGAAATTACCTGAAAAAATAAATCAACTTGTTTCACACGGAACAAACAGTGGGATCTTCTTACAGATTTATTTACAAAATGCAGCACCTCACAAAGAGATTTAGTGTCTTCTGGGAAGTACTTTCCTTCACTTTGTGTTCCTTCTGGTAGAAGAAAACAATGGGATTTCTCCATTATATGGGCAGTGAAACCAGGGGCCAAACCAGTTCTCTCTCTTTGTCCTCTTGAGAGTCAGGCAGCACTTTAGTTCAGCAGAGCAACCTAACATGTTATAGTATTGAGAAAAAAAGAAGTGATTACTGTTTAGTGGGTACCTGCGTGTACCAAGTGATCGAGTATCCGTCATAAATCAAAGGAATCGAAGGGCGCTGAAGTTTGGGAATAAATAAACTAACTATGGTTTAGTGGATACCGGTGAGTATCAAGGGATCAAAAATATGACATAAATTAAGGGAATTGATTCAGAGTCAATATCCTGGTCTCTGGTCTGGCAACCCCCTCAGACCCTGACGAGGGCTGATTTCGCTAGGTGTGGGCTCCTGGGGATCTGGGGACCCCTGAAAGTCTGCAGGTCGGTCACCCAGGGTTAGAGTTCCTTAAAAACCGTATGATCGATTCCTAGACTTGTGCAGCCCTTGGAGGTGCTGGGATACAGTAAAAATAAACAGCGCGCTTTGGAGTGTGGAGGGAGAGAGAGGAGTGATTAAAAGAATAAATAAAATCTGTTGAGAAAATGCACTTAAAGAAATAAGTTTTGGAAGTACGTTCTAAGGAATTGAGAACGCAGACAGACCGCAAGGTTAAAGCATAAACTTGCGGCTTTAATAATTGAGTCTGAGAGGTTAACATAAACTCACAGACAGGTTAGTATAAACTTTCGGCATAAATTCATTCTGCGAGACTAACATAAGCTCGTGGACACAAACATTTTTTCTGAAAGGTTAGTATAAACTTTCAGAACATAGCTGTCTGCTCCGGTAAAATACATACGAACTGGTTAACGTAATGGTTTTCGTGTTGGATAAAAAGTAAAGCCGTAGACAAACACAACCAAGAACGGTGTAATTTGGAAAAACCACCTCCATACGAGGGTGGGAAAAAAAGAGTGTGCGGCCCCCTCTGCACCCGCTGGGCTGTATCCAGTATTGAATATAACGAGGGGAGAGTTAGAAGTGGAAGAAAGTATACTGATAAGAGGAGCGAGGAAATAGGGGCAATCAGACTGTTTGAGGCGCGACAGCAGCGGCAGGGCTACAAGCCTTACGGGCCTGAAATGGGGTGGAATGAGCTATCCTCTGCGCGGGCGGTAGGGAAAGCGGTATGGACGGAAAGTGATGAGTGGAAAGTGACGGAGGAGGAGATGACCCAGCTGGGCATAGCTGGTTCATCTAAACCGGGGCATTCGGGGTTGAGTAGTGGGGGAAACAAATCAAGCGAAGCGAATCGTTCATCGAGATCCCACGATCCGGGTCACCCTGGTCCGAGCACACCGCGATCTCCTTCGAGGAGGGAAGCCGAAGAGGACACCAAATGCTGGTGTTATACTCAGCCGGGGGCGGAAGAAAGTACAAACCGTGGTCGCTTGGGGATGTTTCCGCGCTCGCGGCCCAAATGCCTCCGCCGTCCGGGGGAGGGGGCGCACGGCTGGAGAAATTAGACCAACTCACTACCGGTCACTCGCTTGCCCTGAGAAACCCTGAGATTTCAGGGCGGCGGCTGCGAGATGCATGACTGCATATGATCTGTCAGATATAGAAAAAAAGGAGAATGTAATAAGAGATCCGGACGACGAAGTGTGACACCGGGGCCACATACTCCACCTTACAGGCAGCGGGCTCCTCTGCTATGTCCGGAGATAGCGTCAGCGTTGTGGGGTTCTCCGGGGTGTCACAGAAACTGCCTCTAACAGTCCCCCTACTGGTGAAAGTGGGCTTCGATCTTGTGCAGCCCAGATGGACTAAGCGTCACCATGATGGATGGAACGGTTCTGCATTGACAATGGACAAACGAATGGTCAGTGGGTGGTGCAGCCACTGCAGCAACAACAGTATGCAGACATCTACTGGGGCCTCTTGAAGCCTGAGTGTCCTGAAGGCCCAGCGGTTAT